CTTTTACCCTGTGAGCAGCCCTGAGACCTGCGGGTATAGGGTGGTATACAAATTTAGTCACAACAACAGCAACTTATGCCCATTGATTACCATGGCTCCACCTCTGTGGAAAATATAGTTGAATAGTACCGAGATTGGTGGACTAGATGAGCTTTGGGCCCGATCCTGCAGGCTCTGTGTAGGGGAGACTTTCGACCAGAGTGCTACCCTCTGTGAAACAGGACACATGACCCAGCTCTATCCCTGCCGTTATCTTCTAACCCAACGGTCTGAATTTATTCTCTGTCGTTGACCCCAGATTAGGGTTAACAAATGTCATCCTCTGCTCCTCCCTCTGTACCCAAAAAGCAGCTGATCTTTGTGTTACATAAATCCATGGCTCAACAGCGCCCGAGAGAAAGCAGGGCTGTGTGTGTGTGTGTGTGTGTGTGTGTGTGTGTGTGGATGGATGAGCAGGATTTTCCCTCTTTTGTTCTGGAACGTCAGGTTTGGGGAAGAGGGCTATCAGGTTTGGGGAAGAGGGCTATCGAAAGGATGATGGGAACAAACACATTCCAGGCCAGAGGCAATGCAAAGTGAGCCAGAGCCCATTGTAATGTAGCCATCACTGGTCCACATGAATCCCCCCCCCCCCTACATATTGACCTCAATCAGGCTTCCCAAATGTCCTTCTGCGTGATGCCTGGATTACATAGCTCATCACAGAGGGTCTTCAGCAAGACTATCATTCATACTGGACAACTTCCCTCTAGCTTGCTGACCCTTGCCACACCGAATCTTCCTCTGCTCTATGCAGAATCACAGAAATTCCAACCTTTATTTTATTTTTATTTTTTTCAACAAAGATGTCTTTATTTGGAATAGGAAAAGCATTCTACCTTGAGTGCAAGGGTGGGGGGAGCGGAAATTAAAGAAAGCAACTGGTATTGCTGGCGATGGGGGTGATCAGGATAGAATATGGGGGGTGTGATGTCGTGGGGCCTGACTGTGTTTTAGTCATTTTACATTCCTTAGTTTTTAAAGAACAACAACCTGCTCTTCTTTTTACCTTGCAATTCAGAAACACTCTCCTCCTTTCTCTTGATTTACTAACTCTGAAAGTAGACAAATCAAAGCAGAAGAGGTGGTGAGAGAGAGAATGTAAAAGTGGGACCAACTTTACAAAAAGGTTGTAACTGCCGTGTCAGTGCCAGAAATATAAAATAGGTAAGAAGCTATCCTTTATTAGGCCAACAGAGCTCTGTGTAACTCAAAAGTGTACTTATGCTTACAATCAGCCAAAGCTGGCTAATGAAAGATAGTTTCATCTTCTCCAAAAAAAAAGAAAGAAAAAAAAAAGAGGAATTGGTAAAGGAGCGTTCTGCGTCAGCCAAGTCTCACTTATGCAAGGGAGCTGAAGGGAGAAGCAATGTGTTAACCTGGTGTCTCAGAGCTGTAGTTCAGAAAGGCACCAGGTTCTTCTTCTGTTTGTCCCCGTGTCAGTTTCAGTTTATTAGTTAATTTTTCTAGTAGGGCTGTTTCCCGTACTATTTGGTACCATTGGTCCATGTTTACTCCTGAAAGGTCTCTCCAGTGTCTGGTTATGGTGTTTCTGGCTGCTGAAAGTAGGTGGGTTATGAGTTCTTTGTGGTGTAAATGGGCATTGTTGTCTTGGAAGATGTTTAGTAGGGCCAATTCTGGGGCGATGTCTATTACTTGCTTAGTTATTTTACATATTTCTTGTATGGCTGTTGTCCAGAATAGTTGGATCTTGGGACACTCCCACCACATGTGGAGGTATGTGCCTGTGGAGGTGCATCCTCTCCAGCATTTTGGTGAGGTTCCTGGGTGTATTAGCGCTAGTTTCCTTGGTGTTAGGTACCACCTGTAGGTGAGTTTCAGTGTGAGTTCTTTTCTTTTCGTTGATATGGACTAATGCCTCAACAAATGAAACGGATTTGTAAAAATGCTACATGGGGGGGGGGGGAAATACGAGGCATTACACTTACTTCTGTAAAACAAGAAAATCCTTAATAAAATATTTTTTTAAAAAAAGAAAAGAAAGGCACCATGTTGTTGAAGGCGGTCTTAAGCACCATTTGTTTCTGTGGGAAGGGGTGGTAGTCCCCGAACTTGCACCTCATCTCTTTTGTGGCTGACGGTGAGATCATACTGACAAATGTTTCCCAACCTTTATTTTTAAAATAAAATTTTTATTCCATTTTTCTTTTTCATTCATTACATACATCTCAAATTCTTAACATTTACTATGTATTCCTTCCTCCCTCCCCTCCTAGGCTTCCCCCAACTTCCGCTTCTTGTTTGTTTCTCCTTTCACCCACTTTGCTACCTCCTCACAGAAAAAGTTATTAATAACATAACATCAAACCTAAAAACATAAAAGTAAATACACCATATTTCTCTATCTTCTAAACATTTTCTAATACTAATAGTGTGAATGTTTATTTAAATCCTGCCATCAAGTCTATCAACTTTCTTTGTTTCTGCAAGTATAATATAAATGGTTCCCATTCTTTTTCAAAGTCACTGTTGTCTTTTTCTCTTAGTCTGTCCAACACAATGCAGAGTACCAACCACTATACAATCACGGCCACAGAAATCCCAGCCTGATGCTGTCCAGATGTTGGGGACTACAACTCCCATAAGCTCCAGCCAGCATAGACATTGGTCACAGATGATGGGAATGGGAGTTGTAGTCCCAAACATCTGGAAAGAACCAGTTTGGGGAAAGTTGCTATCGGGTGTGCAAGTTACCAATGAGCTGTTGTAATATAGTTACTGACTCACACCTGCATGTATGAAAGAGATCACCTGAGCTCAGGTTGCCAGTGGGTGTGGCTTAGCAGGCTCTCAGTGGCCTCTCTCTCCCCCACTCCCGTTCCGATTCCTGCAACAAGCGAAGGAGCCATGCAACTTTGGTTCCCAGCTCAACAGATGCCACACATGAACGAATTAATCTCTCTAAAATGAGATTTTATAGCCTGCAAACTGAAAAGAAACAAAAGCTCTTTTCTTTTGGGAGTTGACTCATGTTAAGCTTGTGGTCCACCAAGACCCCTAGATCCTTTCCACATGAACAGCTAGTAAGCCAGGTGTCCCTCATCTTATATTTGTGCATCTGGTTATCCCTAAGTGAAGAACCTGACATTTGCCCCTACTGAAATTCACGGTTAGCTTGGACCCAGCTCTCCAAACTGTTAGTATTGGACGACCTGCTATTCTATCCCTCTCTTGTGGTGCGCTGTTGCAAGGGAGCATGCTGGGTACTCATTCACAGGGTAGATTTAAGCAGTGGAACTCCTTGCCACAGGAAACAGTGGTGGATACCAACCTTGATGGCTTTCAAAGAAGATGACACAAATTCATGGAGGAGAGGGCTGTCAGTGGCTGCTAGCCACAACGGCTATGCAGTGCTTCTGAATACCAGTTGCTGGAAACTGCAGGAGGGGTGAGGGCTTGTGTTTGAATCCTGCTTGCTGGTTTCCCACAGGTATCTGGCTGGCCCCTGTGAGAACAGGAGGGAACATGGGCCTGATCCTGCAGGCTGTTCTAATGTTTTTATGGGTGCATATTGAGGCCATGTGGGACAACATCTGCGCTCAACAGGCACGGCCCTCACCCCACACATAGAACACACTCTAGGATGCACCCAAAGTCAATATTCTCTATTGCAGAGGGAGTCTCAGCAGGAATAAAGCAAAATATTGAAAGCTGCTTTTGTTAAGTCAGACAGAACATTTGAAGCCCGGCTTTCAGAATAAGGCAGCCCAATCGATAACAAAGATGGGCTTATTTGAGGATAAAAATATCACTGAATCACCTTTTGTGCAGTGGAAGAATTTAGTAACCAAGTTGCAGACAAACAGCTCTTATCTCATTACCTCCCCTTTCAAAATGGGCCAGAGAGACACTTAGCACTGTCTTCTTTGTATGTTCTAAGCAGCGGCATAGAAATTATACCTGGTTTCCCCCCAAGCAGCTGAAATAAAATTGGAACGTGTATTTGAGTCATTGCACCTCGGCCAAATCTCTCTGTGCCCTGTATCTGACCAGGTTCTGGACTTTCAGTCCAGTCCTTCAGTTGCGTAATCTGGTGAAGCCTGATCTTTCTTCGCATTTCACAGCACTTGCTATTCATATTTGCCCTGCCAATGCAAGCTGAAGGGCAGGGTACAAACCGAACCCATGGAGACACTCGGGGGGGAAGGAAAGGAGAAAGGAGGGTTTGGAGAGGGAATGGACCACTGAAAAGGATGGGGGAAGAGAGGTGCCTCTGAGCAAGAGCTGCAAAGGCAGAGAGCGCTCAAGCTCACAGAACTGGAAGAGAACTCCAAAGGGCATCTAGTCTGACCCTAAACAGGATACACTGAAAACGCAGTGTGGCGCAATGATCAGTGTTGGATGTGGACTGAGGAGACCCAAATTCAAATCCTCACTGAGCCATGGGCCTTACCAGGTGATCCTACGCCTCCCTCTCTGTCCAACCCATCTCACAGGGTTGTTGTAAGGATTAAAAAAAGATAACAGAGTTCTCTGAATGAATATAAAATCGGAGAGGGGTGGGGAAAGGGATTTTAAGAGAGATTGGGCGCAGGCTCCCAGTTGTTACCTTGAGACCACAACAAAACCACAGCTACCAATATCAAAGGGATGCGGGTGGCGCTGTGGGTTAAACCACAGAGCCTAGGGCTTGCCGATTGGAAGGTCGGCGGTTCGAATCCCAGCTCCTGCCAACCTAGCAGTTTGAAAGCACGTCAAAGTGCAAGTAGATAAATAGACACAGTTCCGGCGGGAAGGTAAACTGCGTTTCCATGCGCTGCTCTGGTTCACCAGAAGCGGCTTAGTCATGCTGGCCACATGACCAGGAAGCTGTATGCCGGCTCCCTCGGCCAGTAAAGCGAGATGAGTGCAGCAACCCCAGAGTCGGCCATGACTGGACCTAATAGTCAGGGGTCCCTTTACCAATCTCAAACGAGGAAAAAAAAGACAACACACACCGGTAGGCTTCTATTTCAAGATTTTTAATTGGTCCAGCAGCTGCAAAATATACAAATTTCCAAAAGGCAGACCTCGTTTTATAAGCTGAAACTGTTTCATCTCAGGCAAAAAAAAACCCCTCAAAAACCCAGCTACATACATATATACAGAATTGAACATCACACAAGTCCAAGTTGGTGGGGGGGACCTCCTCTCAGCTCTGCAACTTCCCTTAAATAAATAAATAGCACTTTGCTATTAAAAAACCGATAAAAATATAAATTCAAGTATCAAAGGAAAAACACAATCAAGAGAATGAGTTGTTGGTGTGGTTTTCAATCACCTTCCCCAATCAACCTGTAACTATCACAAGTGTGACACACACACACACCCCTTGCTTCTTGTGCCTCCCCACTCCAGGGCAGATCAACACACACACACACACACACACACACACACACACACACACACAACAAGGACACACACAGGCAAGGTCCACATGTTCCCTCTCTCATTCAAAATTCCTGAAGCAGGAATGATTTTAAGTTTGTTCCAGGATTTCCTTCTCGTAAGCAAAGGAATCCTGTCAATTTTTTTTCCCCAATTCATGCTATATAAAACCAAGCGAAAGACGAGTTTGCGCAAAAGTGTTTTTTCCCACTACGCAAGGCGTAGGTAAATGCAAACCACACCTAGTTGGGGCAGGAAGGGAGGGGGGGGAAAACATACCACTTGCTATGTGCAAAATAAAGCCACTCTTCCTCTGATAAAGGATAAAATCCTAGCAGAAGGGGCTGAGGGGATAGGAGAAGCAATAGGAGAACCCACACACTCAAAGGGAGAAAATGGGGTTTTATTCCAGGTGACCCACACTGAAATGAGCAGAGGTCATGTCCGTTCGTTCCAACAGGTGCATGACTAACGCTCAAAACCACCCAATGCTTTTTCAAAATGCAAAAAAGCAGAGGAGTCTTTTCAAATGCTTGCACACACGTAGAACCCACCTTGCATGCTACGGACGCCCCCAGTAAAACTTCTCGGCCAAGAGCAGCTCTTTTAAAAAGATCACACACAAACACACATTGATTTTGTCGTGGGCCAAAGCAGGCACTGCAGGAATTGCTGACCCACCTTTCTGAAACTGACCCTTTATTCCTACGGGGTCCTTGCTCACTCGCCCACTCCACGGGCAGCCATCGGGATGTTGCCAGACTACAACTCCCACCAGCCCAGGCAAACAAAGGCAAAGGGCAGGGATGATTAGAGTTGTAGTCCAGCAGCAGGTTGCTTACCCCTGTGCCGCTAATCCTAAGCGTGGCTTGTAAAGTCCTGCACTCCTAACACTTTTCCCACTCTGTTAAAATCACACTCGGCCACCCTAACAAAGCCAGTGGCTATGGTGCCGGCAAGTGGTTTCAGAACCAGCTGCGAAAGAACAACAGGACTATCCTTAAATCCCTCTCTGATATCCGGGGTGTGTGTGTGTGTGTGCTTTTTTTTCTGTAGCTGTAAAAAAAAGGAGAGAGAGGGAGAGACGTGCAAAGTGGCAAAATTAAAAGCAGACATGCAGGTGTCGCAAAAGGTGCTTTTATGCTCCCCATGCCCTCCCTTCTCCACACAGACCCCAAGAACCAACATCCGTTTATTTACAAAGGCTGAGAAAGCAGCACAGTGCCCAGTTTGTCTTCTTCTTTCTTCTCTGCAAGGCAACTGTGTCACTTTAGAAATAATAATAATAATAGAACAACTCGGGGGATGCAAGGATGCTGCAGAGGACGACACTTTAGTCTACCAAAATCTCAAAAAGTGGTGGGGGAAAAGCAACCAACTTCATGAACCTCCGTTTTGCATTCTAAAGCGATGTTCCTTCTCATTCCCTTCTTCTCTTGTGTATCCCCCCCATTCCCCACCCCACCCCAAAGAAACACCATCGTGTCGAGTCTGATACGCAACAGAGTCCGATACGCAACAGGCAGATGATCAGCTTATGGAGATCGAGAAGGAAATAGCCTCGCGTTGAATGGAGATCACACACACACACAGGCAGACGCAAGCTTCAGAGCAGGGCGACGCAAGCGGGCTGAGTTTCCTTCCGTCCGCGTTCTTCCGCCTTCCTAAACATCGCCTGGAGAAACTCAAGACTGTGTGCGGGTCGTGCTCATGTTCTGCAAGCGGAAGGGAGAGAGAGAGCAAACTTTGAGCCGGTAGCTGAGCATTCGGAGGGGGACAAAAGAGAAGCGAGGCAGCCTTTGCATGCAGGTGGCAGGGAGGACGACGAGAGAAGCAGATGCAGAAAGCTCTGCTTTATCCAGCAGAGGCAGTAGCCACTAGGCACACAGGTCGTCCTGAAGGAAGCAGGCCAAGTCGCAAGGCGTAAAAGGAGCTTCTCACTCATCGGGCTCCCTGCATCTCCTACCAGTCCCTCAGCCTGAATTCTGATAGACACTTTAAAGTCATCTCGTGCACATTGGACTTCCTGTCTATCCCGTTGTATATTCCTTTTTTTTTACAAATGAATGTACTCATATTATTCTATATTTCTTTTACATTTTATCTAATACAATACGTGCTCTTCATCTTATTTCTCAACTCAGTCTCTCTCCAACATCAATCAAATTGGTACGTATATAACGGGGGGGGGGATTTTCTTTGTTTTTTCTCTTTGTTTTTCTTTTCTTTCTTTTTAGGTATATAAAGTGTGTATATCATCTTGGTATGCATGTTGGAAAATATATTATAATAAGCTCTGTAATGTAATGTGACGACGTTTACCAAGGTAATATGTTAATAAATAAATAAATTTGACAGGCCTCTCCTCCATGAAAAAAATAAAAATAAAATAAAGTCATCTCGTGTGTGCTTCCGGCTGTGTTGCTGCGGGCCACAAGAACAGAGGAAGCTGCCTAACACTTTTGGACCTACCTAGCTCTGCACTGTCACGCTGACGGCCAGTGGCTCTCAAGGTTTCAGAACCAGGAGGTTGAACTTGGGTCTTTCCGAATGCAAAGCAAATCTTTGAGGATTATTACCATCTTCATTAAATTTTGCATTGCTTGGGCCCCCTTTTGGAGGGGGGGCAAGCGGACACTGCACATTTGGCTCATCTGAAGGCAGCCCCGCATAGGGAAGTGTTTTGTTCTTTTAATCGTTTTCAAATATAGATTCATAACAAAACCAAATACACTTCCATATACAGAAAATTCTCCAAATCTCGAGACCTGCCCCCATCTCCTCTGTGGGTCCTAATGCCAACGCTTTCAACTGCATATTATATCAAATCTATATTTTATATCTACCCCGATTATCCAGAGAGTTTGTTACATTACAAGGGAGATTAAAATCCTGCTAATGTTTTCATCTGCTTACAGTGATCTCTGAAATAGATTATAAATTACCCCCATTCTTTCTTGAAGATTTTGTCTTCTCGGTTCCTGAGCTTTCTGGTCAGTTTTGCCATTTCAGCATAATCTGGCAGCTTAGTTTGCCATTCCTCTCTGGTAGAGAGTCTTCTTTCCATCTCTGGACTAGTATAAAGGTACCCCTGACCATAAGGTCCAGTTGTGACAGACTCTGGGGTTGCAGCACTCATCTCGCTCTATGGGCCAAAGGAGCCGGCGTTTGTCCACAGACAGCTTCCGGGTCATGTGTCCAGCATGACTAAGCCGCTTCTGGTGAACCAGAGCAGCGCACGGAAACACCGTTTACCTTCCCGCTGGAGCGGTACCTATTTATCTACTTGCACTTTGATGTGCTTTCGAACTGCTAGGTTGGCAGGAGCAGGGACCGAACAACGGGAGCTCACCCCGTCGCAGGGATTCGAACCGCCGATCTTCTGATCAGCAAGTCCTAGGCTCTGTGGTTTAACCCACAGCGCCACCTGTGTCCCTCTGGACTAGTATAGGGAAGTTTTTAATGTGTTTTCTTTTTTACTAGGTTTTTATATTTTGCTGGGGCAGAGTTGCAGAGGGGCTGGGGCAACCCAGTCAGATGGGTGGGGTACAAATAATAAAATTATTATTATTATTATTATTATTATTATTATTATTATTAAGCAAACAGTGCAAACGGATCTCAGGGCATTCTAAAAATGGAAACATTACAGGAAAAGAGGAAGCAGACAGTTTAAAAGGGACCTCAACCACCACCACTTATGTCAACAAGCCCATTCATTGCAGAAACACACACACAAACCAAAGCAGAACCAGTTTCCAGGAAGCTGAGCAGGCACAGGTCAAAGATGTACCCCCTTCTCTGCCCACCCACCCCCCAAAAAAAACCCCAAAGGAAACAAAAATAGCCTTGAGCAGCTGTTATTCCAACAAGGTAAAGTCAGGCTGGGGTAAAGCACAAACACGGAGAGCAGCAAGCCATTTTACCTGGGAAATATTAGCAAAGCGAAAAGTTTGAATAAGTGACAAATGGGCCGTCTTCCAGCATGAAAAGGGGGGGGGAGAGAGAAAGGGGGTGAAGGAGAGAGGTTTGCACTGTTATCTGATAGGAATGTGTTCAAGGGATGTCGTAACACCCTTCACATTCACGCCATAAATTAAAAGCACATGGCTGCCCCCCAAAAGAATATTGGGAACTGTAGTTTATCCCCTTGTAGAACTATAATTCTCAGCACCCTTAACCAACTAGTTTCCAGGACCCGGGAGGAGGGAAAGCCACATGCTTCAAACATGACGTGTGGATGTGATCTTCCAGCAGTTCTAAAAAGTTGCAGCAGGGAGAAGGGCTCGTCCGCACGAAATCTTATGCAGCTGCCCTTTGCATTGGTCTATCTGGCTTCATGGGACGCGGGTGGCGCTGTGGGTTAAACCACAGAGCCTAGGACTTGCCGATCAGAAGGTCGGCGGTTCAAATCCCCGCGACGGGGTGAGCTCCCGTTGCTCAGTCCCTGCTCCTGCCAACTTAGCAGTTTGAAAGCATGTCAAAGTGCAAGTAGATAAATAGGTACCACTCCAGCGGGAAGGTAAACAGCATTTCTGTGCACTGCTCTGGTTTGCCAGAAGTGGCTTAGTCATGCTGGCCACATGACCCAGAAGCTGTACGCCGGCTCCCTTGGCCAATAAAGCGAGATGAGCGCCATAACCCCAGAGTCGGCCACAACTGGACCTAATGGTCAGGGGTCTCTTTACCTTTACCTTATCTGGCTTCCTGCCGACTGCTCTGATTGGCAGCAGCTGTCCGGGAGCCTTTGGCAGAGATTCTTTTATTCTACAACTCCCATCCAACACCCCAGCCGGCATGGTCAACGGTCAGGCCAGATGGGAGAGGTGCACACTGAGACCAGAGCTCTCGCCATGCCAGGCAACATGCCCCAACTCTGCACTATCGGCTCCACCAACTGCAAAAGTATTGCTCTCCCACCAACTGCCTACTCCCTCAAGTGCTGCTGGATTAGAACAAAGCTTGAGCTGTAATTTTTATATATTTCAAAAAGTGGTGCACTTAAATCCCATTGACAGATACAATAAATCAGCATTTCTCAAACTCGGGTCCCCAGCTGCTGATGGGACTACAACTCCCATCGTCCCAGACTACCAGCCCTGCTAGCTAAGGATGATGGGAGTTGTAGTCCAACAGCAGCCGGGGACGCAAATTTGAGAAACACTGCTAGCCCTTTATTCAGAAAACTAGTCCGCTAGTAAGGGGAATAAGACATGTAGCACCCCGGTTTCTCTCCCAAGTGCAAGAAAGGGGTTTTTGTAGCGACTGAAAAGATGCTCTGATAAATTAAGTGTTAAAAGCTCCCACAAACTGGAAGGGTAACTCAGTGGTAAGAGAATCTGTTTTGCACGTAGAAGGGCCCAGGTAACTCCAGGTAGGGGCAGAAAAGGCTCTGAAATCCTGGTAGCCACTGCCAGTCACTGTAGACTAGAGATTGCAAAGCTATTTTTCGGCCCATGGACCCCCTTTGTGTTTCTTAGCAAGCACCATTCGCGCTGTCCTCGTGGGTCACTTCAGTGGAATCAGTCAGAGCCTGGAAAAGGAAGTGGGGAAGAGTATCTCTTCTCCCAATTTTCTCCTTCAACAATTGGCACTTTTCAAGGGATTTAAATAGTGGCTCTCTAATGTGGCATGCCACATTGGCGTGGCAGGAAGATACAAGGGCAAAGAAACACTTAAACATTTCAGTGTAGTGTAGTATAGTATTAAAAAAATATTATTTTGCAGGTTACGGATATCTTTTCAAAACGAGAGCAAGAGCATGAGCTATTCTTCTACAGTTCTCCACAACGTATTGTTGTGAACAGTGATTTTCAACTCTGACAAACATGCAAGGTATCAGAGAGAGAAAAGGCTTCTTTGTATTGATGAGGAAGTGTGAGTTTCTCAAATTTAGACCTGATCTAAATGAGTTATTACCCAGCAAAAACAAGCGCATACCACCTCTCACTGAGTGTGCATACATCCTTAAAGTACATATGCAAGAGGCTCGCTTATAATTCTATTTTGAGGATGATACATGTTCTTATTTTAAGAATAAATATTTGTTTTATACTTTCTGGATGCCCCATGATCATACTGTAAAGCAGTTGTGTTCTGTGTTATAAATCAAGCACTGCTGGGAGTTGTTTTCTTTCTGTTTTCCGATGGATTTCTTACCAATGAAAAATTGGGTGTGGCGTGAGCAGATTTTTATTCTAAAAGTGTGGGCCCAGAGAAAATAAAAACCACATGGATTAAAAGGTCGAAACACTGGTTAAATTGATTGGGCAGGGATTCAGAGGTCTTGTGGGCAATTGGGGAAGACTCCAAGGGGCGCCACATTGGTGATCTGTGGTCACTGACAGTACAGATCAGAATAGATGAATGGTCTGACTTTGAATGAAGGCAGCTTCCTATGTTCCTACCAAATGCAAGAAAGGTAAATCTCCCTCAAGGATTCTAGGGGGAAAGGTGCAAATTGCGTTTGGAAAGCTAAGCACGCAGATTAGTGGTAACAAAGGGAAAACAACGAAAGAAAGGTGAACCTGCAAGATACTCACAGGCAGGCCTTCCCCAGTAAAGGCTGTAAAGAGAAAGAAAAGGGGGAAGGAGAGGGAGATGGAAGAGAACTCAGTCTTGGTGTGGAAAGCAGAATAACAACAGGAAATTCAAGATAAAGGATTCAATTGCTGCGAGATAGCAGACAAAGAGACATAAAGCCACGCATGTCAACAAACAAGCCACTTCCATTCATGCAAAACGTAGAAACACATTTCAGCAAAGAGCCTCCACACTTTCAATATTTGGGTCACACAAGGGAAAGGAGGAGTAGGGCAGCAATTTAGCAGGAAGCCCCCTTTTGTCTGCTAACTTACAGAAGCTGCCTCCAGGCATTTGTCAAGAAGTCCCATTTCCTGCTAACTAGGAGAGCTGATGGGCTTTTGGCTTTCAAATTAGGCAGACATTTAGCTGCAATGGGAAGTGGTCATTCATCCTTTCAAAAAGGTGATGAGCAAGACTAATCTATGAAAATTTGCTGCAACCTTTGGAAACAACTTTCAGCTGAGCAACACCAGCAAATGCGAACACATTGAGACAATGGAGTGTGCCTCTGCAGAGAAGACAAACTGGCTTGTTGGCAGCCACCTAAGTGACCTCCCTGGGGTGCAAGCCTGGGCAGTGTGTCTGGAGGTCCTGGGCTGCCCAGGCGACAAGAAGAAGAGCAAGATGTTTGGCACCAGCTTGGCTGCATGAGTTGCTGGAAGGACGCATACATGGCGCCATCCAACCAACTTAGGGACTCCGCTTCAGAACTGTGTAGGGTTTACACCATGGGTAGGCAAACTAAGGCCCAGGGGCCAGATCTGGCCCAATCGCCTTCTAAATCCGGCCCATGGGCAGTCTGGGAATCAGCCTTTTATTTAAAATGCATCTCCGGGTTATTTGTGGGGCATAGGAATTCGTTCATTTCCCACCCCCACCCCCACCCCCCAAAAAAATATAGTTCGGCCCCACACAAGGTCTGAGGGACAGTGGACCGGCCGCCCCCTCCTGAAAAAGTTTGCTGACCCCTGGTTGACACCTTAAATATTTTCTTCTCCCGAAAGATCTCCTGCAAGGCAGCAGGACAAAGCAACATCCTAGTCAAGTTAAAAGAATATGGAATGATAGGAATCAAGGAAGGCTTGGAGAGGAAAGGCAAGCCTAACACAAATCCTTAAAAAAGTGTGTTGCTGCAAAGGTTTGAAGGCCAAGTTTCTATAATCCACACCAAACACCAGGCAAATACTTCTACCTAAGTTCAAGTTCATAAGGCAAGTGACGGCCAAGCCTGGCTTATATTGCAGGTTCTCAAAAAACCAAACTACACCAACCCAAAGCATTATAAATCATTTCTAAAGGTGCTTTAGGAGGAGGGAAAAGTGAAGGCAAGGAAAGCAAAAGTAAACAGATGATGCCAACTGCGATCTGATAGCACCGCGTTTAAAAAATGGATAAGCGACACGACAGAACGTCCTCCCATGGTTTAAAGCAGCGGGGAGATATTTAAGCATGGAAATGCAATGACCACAACACACAACCGCCACCACAAGCAGGCAGGCGCACACACACGAGAAAACACCAACAAAAGAATGTGACCAACTTGTCCGGGCATCTGGGCGGGCACCTCCTGGGGCATACAGATGGGCAGGGCAGCGGAAGCAGAGTCAGCCACATGCTCCTCAAAGCTGTTGATGCGAGGCTTTTTGGTGGGCTCTGGGCTCGCTAGAGGGGTGACGCTATTGCGCCTCATGAGGGTATTAGGTCCCTTCTTTGCATCCTAAATTAAAAGCGAGACAAAGATAAAAAAACACGAGAAAATAAAGTGAGGAAGGAGGTGAAAAGTTACGGGGGTCAGGTGGGGAGAAAAGCAGCGGGGGAAATAAATATAAACCAACCAAACACACACGATGGGTTAATTGGTCTGACAAAACGCACCAAAAAAAAAAAAAAGGAAAGGAAAAAGCGAAGACCAGGAAATCTCATTAAAGAAGGAGTTATCATTGCTGGGGTTCCTGCGAGGTCCCTTGGCACTCAGGCACGCTAATCTAGACCCGACGTACTTCTAAAGCAGGGGTGGGAAAACGTTCGCAGGGTGAGGGCCGTGCTCCCCTCTAAGGTCTTGTTTTACGAGTTACATGTATTAGTGATGATCTGAGTCTGAGACAAAACTGTTAATTTGGCGTCTATATGGTCACGCTGTGGGTTAAACCACAGAGCCTAGGACTTGCCAATCAGAAGGTTGGCGGTTCGAATCCCCACCACGGGGTGAGCTCCCGTTGCTCGGTCCCTGCTCCTGCCAGCCTAGCAGTTCGAAAGCACGTCAAAATGCAAGTAGATAAATACGTACTGCTCCGGCGGGAAGGTAAACGGCGTTTCCGTGCGCTGCTCTGGTTTGCCAGAAGCGGCTTAGTCATGCTGGCCACATGACCCGGAAGCTGTACGCCGGCTCCCTCAGCCAATAAAGCGAGATGAGAGCCGCAACCCGAGTTGGCCACGACTGGACCTAATAATGGTCAGGGGTCCCTTGACCTTTACCTTTACGGTAGGCTAAGCTCTACACACACATCCCTTGAATCAGAGTTCAAGAAAATCCTTTGAGCATTGCAAAAAGGCTCAAGGAGGGGGAGAAGATTGAGAAAGTCCTCAAGGCTTGAAAGGCTGCATTTTGGACCCTGGGTGTGAGGTTTCTCAACCCTGATCCATAGGGTGCGAAGCAGCACTGCAGAGGGACATAGCCTTGGGAGAAGGGCCGTGTCCTGGGAAGCTGAGGGCCAGGTGCAGTGGGGGGGGGTTCAATGGCCATATTTGGCCCCCTGAACCTTAGGTTTCCCACCTCTGTTCTAAAGAGGTAACGTTGGGCCCAAGAATGAAATATTCAAAATTTCCGAATTCGGGTTTGAGAAGTCTCTATCTCTCTCCCTGCACTAGGTCTTTTGAAGAAAGTAAGAGATGAGGGCTTCTTTGCAATGAAAAGAGCAGCTAGGTGCCTTGAGAGATTCTGCCGCTTGGGAGAATCCACACCAACGCCACTGATCCAGCCTACAAATTACAGAGGAACAATTGGAAAAGGCCACAGAAGAACCGTTTGTCAGCGCTTGTGATCCTAATCGCATCCGCAAAGCGTCTTGCTGCAACCTGGCATTTACGCGTTCGATTCCGCCTCATTTGCAGCCTGAGTGTCCTTGGCTAGTTACATAACTTTAAAGAAAAAAAACCCAAGCAACGGTGGCAAAAACCTTCAAACATACACCAGTAGCAATGGGCCAGACGTTTCCTTCAAACCTCCTTAAACACTTAGCAGAATATAAAGAGGCCTTAGCTAGCTTTTGAAAGTTTGGGGAAAATAGATGTAGCCAAGTAAGGAGCCATCATAGGTATATATATATTATTTATATATATATATATATATTTATATATATAGAATTGTAGAGTCAGAAGGGACGAAGAGGGTCACCAAGTCCAGTTCAAACAAATAGAAGGAGCTGTCTATATGGTGCTACGAATTACTCCCTTCTCCCACCACCAATCCACCAAAAAACGGTCAGGAATAAATATTGCTTACAAAAAGAGGGGGTCCATCTTTGAGCGGTTTCCTACAACACAGGTGTCTACCCAACTCCTTTCCAACTACACAGGGGGAGGAAGAGGGGGTCCCAACGGGCGGCCAGAAGCCCCTCACCTCTGTTCTGTCCCGGTGGGTGTTCACAGCCTCAACATTCAAGCAGATGGATTCAACTCTGCAGCCTTGTGGAAGCAAAGGGAGAGAAAAGGTTGGGGGGGAGGGCAGAGAGAGGAGATATACAGGACATGGTCAGTTACGGGGGATGCAATTACTTAGGAAATATTTGATTCAATCAAAATCAACAAAGAGCGCCTCAATTGATTCTGTATTTCTTTAAAAAGTAAATTATTCTTTGATGCAAGTGCTTAGAAATCTGCAGCTGGGAAATGCCACAAGAGAGAGACACAGTCTCCCTTCAAACACATACATACAAAGGATTTATGCCAATTGAGATTGTTCCCTGTGGAATACACAGAGCATGCATTATGCTTTCGTTTTCATCCACACTGCAAATGTGGACAAATTTAAGTAATCGATCATTCAGTTAAGACGTATACAATTAAAATCAGCTAAGATTTTTTTGGGGGGGTTAATCAGGTGACATCCCCAAGAATCACATTTTAAGCACTGACATATCAAGCATTGCCTGACACAGCCATCTGCGCTGCAGTCAAGGTAAGGAATGTTGTTCATGACTTTGGCGGGGGAGAAAGGGTGGAAATTCATTTGAGTGAAGCACAGGCCAACCTTCCTGGCCTAGGCCCTCTGTTCTAATGAAACACTGCAGGGTAAAAAAAAAATTGGCTGGATACTGTGCTAAATATGTACAAAGTCCACCTCTGTTGCCTACATTCTGCAAAAGAAAAGCAGAGTTCGGGGCTCTTGCATATAAATTGTGCAAACAAAGCAAAGAGTGTGAGCTTTCTTATCTTGCGTGACTTTATCCTGCGACTCTTAACACTTCAAGTTTATTTATTCTAAGTAGGGGTATTAGTTTAGGGCAGTGGAATGCCCACCCTCTTCTAGCCACTGAAAATATTTCTCAGCTGCCTCTCCAGCTTTTGATATTTCACCGTGAGCTGTCTACACAATTTTCTTGTGCATGTTTTGGCCACGCCAGGAGGGCTAGAAACTTGTGTTTTAAATGAAAGCCAATATTCCCAAGAAAAGCATATCGTGCTGTCTTCAGTGCAACCATGACACACACACACACAACACACAATGGCAAGAGCGGAAGAGGAAAAGGTTAAGTCGGAACGGGTCTGCTGGTGCTAACAGCAGACCACAGGGATGACCCAGTGAATACACTGCAGCAGATGCAAAGAATGGAAAAATCCTGGCCATTTGGTCATTGGCAAATATGGGATGCGTGTGGCGCTGTGGGTTAAACCACTGTGGCGCTTGGGCTTGCCGATTGAAAGGTCGGCAGTTCGAATCCCTGCGATGGGGTGAGGTCCCGTTGCTCAGTCCCTGCTCCTGCCAACCTAGCAGTTTGAAAGCACGTCAAAGTGCAAGTAGATAAATATGTACCGCTCCGGTGGGAAGGTAAGCGGTGTTTCCATGCACTGCTCTGGTTCGCCAGAAGCGGCTTAGTCATGCTGGCCACATGACCCGGAAACACTGTCTATGGACAAACGCTGGCTCCTCGGCCTGTAGAGCGAGATGAGCGCCACAACCCCAGAGTCGTCCGCGACTGGACCTAATGGTCAGGGGTACCTTTACCTAATCCCCTCTACAGATAACCTTAAAACCCCTCTGATCTCCCATCGAAGGCCACAGCAACTTCTGCAGTCATCTCTAGTAACAACGGCAATAACAACCATTTCTTTCCACATCAATAATGGGGCTTCTCAAAGCTTCGTCACAGCGCATGGACCAGGGCAAGCAACCCAGGCACATCATGCTCTCTGTGCAAAACCTTTGAGAGAAACAGATACTCACCATATGCCACAGGGGTCAGCTTTAGCACTGTGTGGAGAGGACATTTCAAGTAAGGCATTTCCGCTGGAAGAAAAGCAGAGAAGGGAGGTTATCAGCCAGACACAGAAGTCTGTTTTATGCAGCGTTGCAAATGGAAGAAGAAGAGGAGGAGGAGTTTGGATTTGATATCCCGCTTTATCACTACCCGAAGGAGTCTCAAGGCGGCTAACAATCTCTTTCCCTTCCTCCCCCACAACAAACACTCTGTGAGGTGAGTGGGGCTGAGAGACTTCAGAGAAGTGTGACTAGCCCAAGGTCACCCAGCAGCTACATGTGGAGGAGCAGGGAAGCGAACCCAGTTCACCAGATTACGAGTCCACCGGTCTTAACCACTACACCACACTGGAACACACGGGTTTTATGCATTACTTTTATTCCATCTGCCCTTCTTTTTTTAAGCTACCATTTCTCCTTGTAAGCACAACACATTCGCTCAGGACACAACCCAACATTCCTGGTTGAAATCCTGGCTCAATAGCTGCATCAGTTTTCAGTTGGCGGGCGTTGGGTGCACACTCAGATGCAACGTCTCAATGGAACTTTGGGGCATATATTTAGCAGTCACTGTTCTCTGGCTAAATACTGCACCTCGATCCTTGCACCCGTTTAATAAAGAGAGGCACATCCCAGCTACAGACCACTTACCTGCACTCTTGTCAAGGAAGTAGGCCAAGAGGCATCTCATCACGGCCTGGTGACAGATGACGAGGACGTTCTCCTGCCTCTCCAGCTCCATGATAACGGGCTCCAGGCGCTGCACAAGATCCTGGTAGGACTGCAGATGCACACATAAAAAGACCCAAAAAAACTGGGTAAAGGCGCTGGGACAACCCCTGAACGCTCAAAACTGATGTTGATACAGGGCTTCACTGCCAGTCAGTGTAGATGAAATAGGTAAAGGGACCCCTGACCTTTAGGTCCAGTCGCGGATGACTCTGGGGTTGCGGCGCTCATCTCACTTTATTGGCCAAGGGAGCCGGCGTACAGCTTCCGGGTCATGTGGCCAGCAAGACTAAGCCGCTTCTGGCGAACCAGAGCAGCGCATGGAAACGCCGTTTACCTTCCCACCGGAGTGGTACCAATTGATCTACTTGCACTTTGATGTGCTTTCGAACTTCTAGGTTGGCAGGAGCAGGGACTGAGCAACAGGAGCTCACCCCGTTGCGGGGATTCGAACCGCCGACCTTCTGATCAGCAAGTCCTAGGCTCTGTGGTTTAACCCACAGCGCCACGTGTCCGTAGATGAAATACCAAGCTCAAAAGACAACTGCTCTGACTCAGGAGGGGGCCACTTCCTATGTCCCTTCAAATAATTTCCTCCCGCTGCCCAAAACGTGGAGTCATTACATCCTTTCATTCCCCAAAGAGAGCTCCGTGTTGTTCTGCTTCTGCTCGCAGTAGCAGAGGTTTTGTTTTTCTACGTTGCCAAGCTCCAGAGGAAAGTATATTTCTGCAAAGGAGATCCCAGGAGCATTGAAGATTCACCAGGGTGCAGGATGGCCAAAGAGAAAAGTGGAGCTCATGGCTGGCTTAGCGCCTGGAGATGTTCTTTTCTCGCACGACCGACAGCTCCTTGTTTATTGGAAGTCCACCTCCCTAGGCGAAATGCCCCTTTGAAGACGGCAAGTGGGGATGCATCTGCCACCTTCCCCATCCCTGTTCTCCATCATCCAAGAGTCATGATGCCATGTTAAGGGGGCTCACTCTCGCCGTTAATCCATCTGGACCCAGGGGCTTGCCACTTTTTGTCCAGTTTATTGCCTCTAGCACTTCTTCAGTTGTTATTTGAGTATTTAAGATCACCATTTGTTCGTCTCTTATTTTTGGCAGACAACCATTTGAAATATATTCCTCTATTTTACAGGTTTTTTCCTTTCCTTTCTTATACAGTTCTGAAAAGTATGTTACAAATGCAGCTCTTATTTCCTTCATCTTATCTGTAATCTTCCCATTTACAGTGGTACCTCGGGTTACATACGCTTCAGGTTACAGACACTTCATGTTACAGACTCCGCTAACCCAGAAATAGTGCTTCAGGTTAAGAACTTTGCTTCAGGATGAGAACAGAAATCGTGCTCCGGCGGCACGGCAGCAGCGGGAGGCCCCATTAGCTAAAGTGGTGCTTCAGGTTAAGAACAGTTTCAGGTTAAGAACGGACCTCCGGAACGAATTAAGTACTTAACCCGAGGTACCACTGTATATTACTTTTGTTTATGGAGTTTCTTTGTTCATTTTTCTTCAACTGCCACACAAGCAGTTTTCCTGATTTATTGGCATGTTCGAAATATTTTTGTTCCATTCTTTTTATCTTCCAGCTAGTTTCTTCATTAACTATCATGGAATATTGAATCCGTAATGTTCTAATGGCCTGCTTGACTGACACAAAAACCCACCAAAACAATTTTCACTGTTTTTAAACGGTTTCTCGCTGCCCCAGGCTTACCTCTCCCGACGGGTAGCGGTAGTAGTATTTGTCCTGGTCCCGCAGAGCAAATTCTTCAGGGTACTTTTCCTTGATTTCATCGTAGGTTAGCTCTTCGCACACACCCTGCAAGAACCACAAGGTGCGGGGGAAACATCAGTGCTGCTACTCAGGGCAAGATTATGGAAGGCATGTGGTATTGGGGGGAAGCAAGAGATAATTTGCAACGGCAAGATCCTACTCAAGTTTCTAGTCAAGGTCCTCTTCCCTGCAGAAATGGAATTATAGCCAAGAATGTGGTGTGTTTGGCAAAGTACAAGTGTGACTTGAAACGCAACAGGCAAGAGGGCAGGGGCTCACTGCATTTTAAGCTGCAGGTGTATAAAAAGGTAAAGGGACCCCTGACCATTAGGTCCAGTTGTGGCCAACTCTGGGTTTGCGGCGCTCATCTCGCTTTATTGGCAGAGGGAGCTGGCATACAGCTTCCGGGTCATGTGGCCAGCATGACTAAGAGGCTTCTGGCGAACCAGAGCAATGCACGGAAACACTGTTTACCTTCCCACCGGAGCAGTACCTATTTATCTACTTGCACTTTGACGTGCTTTCAAACTGCTAGGTTGGCAGGAGCAGGGACCGAGCAACGGGAGCTCACCCCGTCACGGAGATTCGAACCGCTGACCTTCTGATCAGCAAGTCCTAGGCTCTGTGGTTTAACCCACAGCGCCAGTGTGACTTGAAATGCAACAGGCAAGAGGGCAGGGGCTCACTGCATTTTAAGCTGCAGGTGTATACCCAGCCCCATATAGGGTTGTATCCAATGAAGTCTTTCTGCAAGTACTTCCACCCTCAGGAGAGGGAGATAAACTCCTGTTGAGCAGGCATAAGTCCTTGCGCTAAAGGGACGGCTTCGTTAGATACAAGTCAGCCCAAAGATTTTGTCATATTAAAGAGTTAAAAATGTTTATAAATATTAATAAGAAATATTGATTCTGATGGCACGATATTGGACCATGATTAACATGTTCTCTCAGATCACCTGATTATATAAACAAAGGAATTGTAGCCAAGGCTAGTCCCGCTCATTGAAATCAATGGATCTAAGTTAGTCGTGCCCATTAATTTCTACTCTATGGCACAAGGATGTTAATCAAATATTTTGGGCAGGGGATTCAATGCCAAATTCTTCCAAACATTCTGTTTGCATTGTTTGGCGGATGGAATTTATCTGCCCCCCTCCTCCCTAGCATACAGTTCTGCAGGTTGTCCTGACACCCCTTTAAGCTAATTGGGGGGGTGGGGTAAGCAGAGGAAGGGGGGAGGCCTGTTGTGCAATGGAATCCCACCTGCAACCTCTATGCGTTCCAGCCTTGGGGAGTTTGCCACCAGGCAAAAGTGGCAAACTCCCCAAGCAGACAGACAGTCATGGTGCACCTAACTTGTTCACGCTGAATTAATGGGACAGAAGCAGACTTTTTTAAAAAACAAAAAACATGGGCCGATATAGATAGGATTATGCACAAGCTTATTGCACAGGACTAGTAGCATGACTAAGCTGCAGGATGCAATCTCCTAGGAATCACAAGCAGGGAGATTCGGGGCCTGCCGGTGGGCTTCCCAGAGGTATCTGGCTGTGCACTGTGAAAACAGGATGCTGTACTAGGTGGGCTTTTGGCAGAATCTCCTCAGGTGCGCTGGGATTTCCTTAGGTGCACTGGGATCTCTGCAAAGCCTGGGGCAGATTTGGAGAGCAGGGGACAGAAGAGGACAGCCCCTCTTCTCCCACTGAAAGCTTGGCCCTGAGCCCAGAAAATACAACGGCACTTACAGCGTCAATTTCATTCAGGGCCTTCCACTGCTCGTAGGGCAGGTCAAGAGCCTCTGCCGTCTGGATGGTCCTCTTGAGCTGGCTGGTCCAAACTTTGAGGTCTTTCAGGTTCTGCTCCTGGACAAAATGGCTCAACGCACTGGAAAACTGAGGACAGGAGGGGAAACAAAAGGAAATTCTTAGTGCGAATTTCTATTCCCAGAGGCTCCCAAAGGACAGTGCCCACCACAATAACAGAGTCATGCATGGGGACTTTACTGGAGGAAGTAGAGTCACAACGAAACCCAATAAGTTTCGTTCCTGAGTTTTCTTCCTACTGGTACACATGGGAGAGAGAGAGATGATGATGCGCCAATCAGAGCAGTAAATGGACTACCACACCTGCAACATGGCGGCTAAAGGGGGTGGGTTTTTTTCCTGCTCGACCATATGAACTGGAGAGCATGGGACGACTCCTCCCCCCAGCAAGGACCCTTTTTTGTCATGTGATCCTGCCTGACAAGTGAGGGGGAGGAGTCATCCCAGAGTATGACATAGTAATTTATTATTTGTACCCCACCCATCTGGCTGGGTTTCCCCAGCCACTCTGGGCAGCTTCCAACAAGGATCAAAAATACATTAAAATGTCACAAATTAAAAACTTCCCTGAACAGGGCTGCCTTCAGATGTCTTCTAAAAGTTTGGTAGTTGTTTATCCCTTTGACATCTGAAGGGAGGGCATTCCAGAGGGCGGGTGCCACTACCGAGAAGGCCCTCTGCCTGGTTCCCTGTAGCTTTGCTTCTCGCAGTGAGGGAACCGCCAGAAGGCCCTCAGAGCTGGACCTCAGTGTCCGGGCTGAACGATTGAGGTGGAGACGCTCCTTCGGGTATACAGGACCAAGGCCATTTAGGGGCTGTCCTTCAGAGGTTTCTGGGGAATGGAGCAATGGTCTGGCCCAACCTGGCTTTCTATTGTTTTTATTTAAGAAGGACGGAGTCCGGTTGCAAGCAGGAAAGGAGGCAGGCGGAGGTTGCTGATGCCCCATTCCCGCTGCTAGGCCCGCCTGCACCGAGCTAAGTAGGCACAGGACTGCAGCCGCAGCACATTCAAAGGCGGCCAAGCCTCTCAGCTCCCAGACAGAGGATTTCCCACGGCACCTACCTTTTTTCCCCTCCAGGAGAGCCCAGAGTCTCCCCCAATCTTCCCCTTGAGGTTGTATTCGCTCTCGCCGTGCCGGCACAGGTAGATGGTGCGAGGCTGGACGTGGATGTTCATCAGGTAGTAGACGATTCGACTCTGGATGTGGTCTTGCACCCTGTTCACAAGGTACCTCCGGCCAACGTCAATCACTTTGATCAGCGACAGGTCTCTGGGAGGGGAAGACGCGCACGGCCGTCACTCAAAAGGCCCGCCAACCCCGGGGGAAAGCCAAGTTCAAGAGCTGCAGAACCCGCAAGGTGGGAATGCACAGAAACCATGAAGCACCAAATCGGGGAATTGTAGCGCAGCCTTGCGCCAAGTCCTAAGCCCTTGAGCAGGTGAGCTTCAAAAGTACCGTATTTTTCGCTCTATAACACGCACCCGACCATAACACGCACGTAGTTTTTAGAGGAGGAAAATCCGTAGGCATGCCACCCGTAGGCATTCCCTCCATAACACGCACAGACATTTCCCCTTACTTTCTAGGAGGAAAAAAGTGAGTGTTATGGTGCAAAAAATACGGTACCCAGCAGCCACTGCTGAGGTGTTATTGAAATTCTGGTAGGAAATGAAATGCTGGTGCTTAACAGCCTGCTTGATCCTATGTATCCAGGTGTGGTATATTGCATTATTATGTTACGGTGTGTGTTGTTAACAGATTCAGGCACACCTAGCTCTGCCAAGTCTCTGGTTGTTAAAAGCAGGAGAAACCACACACATCCTCCTTTCTGTCTCAGGCGAAAGCAAACAGCTTCCCTACCAAATCCCTGCTTCTAAAGGCAGTCCTACCAACCCAGACATTCTTCCAGGAAGGCAATGGGAAAAGCTTCGAAATTCAGAATTTTGCAACAAAATTCCCTAGTTTTCCATGTAAGCACATTCCAACAAGTTAAAAGCGAGGAAATGCTTCCCAATTCAGTGTACCTTAGTGACTTCAGGGGGAATTGTAAGTTCACTGAAACTACTTCTAAGACAAAACAAACACCAGAGAAGAGGATTTTGGGTTTTATATCCCGCTTTATCACTACCTGAAGGAGTCTCAAAGCGGCTAACAACCTCCTTTCCCTTCCTCCCCCACAACAAACACTCTGTGAGGTGAGTGGGGCTGCGAGATTTCAGAGAAGTGTGACTGGCCCAAGGTCACCCAGCAACTGCATGTGGAGGAGCGGAGACATGAACCTGGTTCCCCAGATTACGAGTCCACTGCTCTTAACCACTACACTACACTGGCTTTCACACAGTGCCTTTCACACAATTTGGCAGCCAGCTTTTGTCACTGGAAATACAGGCGAGAAACACAGTTCCCTCACCTGTCGTAGTCGTCTGGGTCCATAGGCTGGTAGCTCGATTGGTAACAGCTGATTCTCTTCATGAAATCTTCCATTGCGTCAGCAGAGTTGCAGTCCTTATAATCCGGGCTGGACAACTTGACTTCCTGAAGCACATGCAAAAGAAAAAAAGAGCAGAGGGTCAGGGAGCCAGCTGTGAAACCCAAGATGATGTGTGATGGGATTATGAGCTGCTTGTGCGTAAAATCGTATTCCCTCAGAGTTTGTTCAAGTCCACAAACCTCTGTCTGTGACTGAGCCCCTCTGACATGGCTCCTCTAGTCACTAGAAGATTCCGACAGTGGTTGCTTTCGTAATCGCTTCCAACATAAAAGCTCCTTAACGGAAACACGTCTTCTGGACTCTCTGCGTGACAGTTTCCGGCGAGGAGTGGGTGTCGCTACAGGAGGTCCGGAAACCTCACCACTGTTTTCGCTGGAAGTATCTCTGAGCCATCCCCCCAGCTCCCTTTCCCTCAGTTCAGCTTCTCTCCCCCTGCTGGTTTCCTCTTCCGCTGCTGAGTCTCTTCCAACCTGTCTGAGCCCTTTCACCTCCCTCAGTTCAGCTTCTCTCCCCTTGCTGGTTCCCTCTTCAGCTGCTGAATCTCTTCCAACCTGTCTGAGTCCTTTCACCTCCCTTCCTTCCGATGGCAGTTCCCTGACATCCACCTCCCCCTCCAGGGCCCCCTTCACCCCCTCTCGCCCCCTCCTCTACGGGCGGTGAGGAGGCAAAACCCGGAATGAACTTCCTTCATCTTCCGATGTCTCGAACACTTCTCTCCACCTGTTGCGGTTCCTGGTCTCGAAGCACTCCTCCTCCTCCGAGTCCATCTCCCCTTCCCCTTCCGATTCTGGGAATCCTTCCAACTCCTCCTCCTCCTCAGTGGTCCCAAAGTATTCCCTCCGGAACCTCTCCACAGGCTGAGGTTTCCGCGGGAACCTTTGATGGAACATTTCTATCAATACCTCGTCATTGATATCTTTGGCCATTACCCACGTGTTTTCTGACTCCGGTTCTCCTTCCCACGCTACCAAATACTCCACCTGATTCCCCTTCCACCTGGCATCAAGGATTTCTGCCACATGACTGCTGCATTCTCTTTCTTCTATGACCGGTCCCAGTGGCCATCCCTTCTCGTCCCCCCTCGTACGGTGACAGTAACGACCTGTGAAATACTGGGTGCAGTTTCATGTGGTTGGGTAACCGGAGCCTGAAAGCCACTGGGTTGACCTGTTGAATGACCTCAAAGGGACCCAACCTCCTGGGTCGTAATTTCTTACAACCTCCTTTGAACGGCAACCCTCGGGTTGACAGCCACACCCTATCTCCAACCCTTATGGTTTCACCTTCCCTTCGGTTCTTGTCTGCCTGCCTCTTGTATTCTTCCTTCGCCCTTTCTAAGTTGAGTTGGAGCTGACGGTGGATTGCTTCCATTTCTTCTACAAAATGCTCGGCTGCCGGTGCGCTCCATCTCTCCCCTTCTCCCCCTGGGAAAGCCCTGGGATGACACCCATAATTAGCCAAGAAGGGGCTCATCCCTGTGGACACATTCTCGGCATTGTTGTAGGCAAATTCCGCCAGCGCCAACTTTTCTACCCAGTCATTCTCTCTGTCATTGACATAACACCTCAGGTATTGCTGGAGGACACCGTTTGCTCTTTCCGCCTGCCCGTTGGTTTCAGGGTGCCGGGCAGTCGAAAAGTTGACCTCCACCTGCAGTAAGCTCATGAGCTTCCTCCAGAACCTGGAAGTAAATTGTTTTCCTCGGTCTGAGACCACCCTCAATGGCACCCCGTGCAACCTAAAAATGTGTTCTACAAATAACTTCGCTGTCTCTTCCGCCGTGACTGCATGCGAGCAAGCTACAAAGTGGCACATCTTTGTTAGTAGGTCTACCACCACCATGATGGCTGTTTTCCCTTTGGACTTCGGCAGATCAGTCATAAAATCTATCGACACTGCCTCCCAAGGTCGTTCTGGTGTTGGTAAGGGTTCTAATAGCCCCGCCGGCGCCCGCCTTTCCCCTTTGGCTCGCTGGCACTGCTCGCACCCTCTTACATACTCACGTACATCCTCCCTCACCTTAGGCCACCAAAATTCCCTGGTGACCAACCACATGGTTTTGTGTTGCCCAAAATGCCCGCCGTGGGGCTGTCATGCAACTGCTTGAGTACCCTCCCCCTTAAGTCTCCTTCAGGGATATACAGTGCCCCTTTGTAATACAAAGCTCCATTTCTTTCCTCGAAACCCCTTGATTCCTCTCCCTCATCCCTAAGACCTCTGAGCTTATTCTGGGCGTATTCATCATTCTCTGTTTCTTCTACCAGTTCTCTTTGTCCCACCAATGCCGCCCCACACACCCAGCGGTCCTCTGGAATGACATGTCTCTCTTCGGGTGCTCCCTCCCCTCCCAATATTCAGGTTTGCGTGAGAGAGCGTCCGCCTAATGTTCTCTGGGCCTGGCACGTAACAAATCTCAAAGTTAAATTTGGAGAATTCCTGGGCCCATCTCACTTGCCGTTGGTTGAGCACTCGTGCCGTCCTCCAATACTCTAGGTTCTTGTGGTCAGTGCACACTTGCACCTTATGTTGTGCGCCAATTAGCAGGTGCCTCCATCTCCGGAACGCCTCATGAATGGCTAGTAGTTCTCGGTCATACACCGTGTAGTTCCTCTCGGATTTGTTCAGCTTTCGCGAAAAAAAAGCACACGGTCTCCACTCTGACTCCTCCTTCCCTGGCTGGAGAAGCACCGCCCCAACCGCTCTGTCTGATGCGTCAGTTTCCACTCTCATCGGTTTTTGTAAATCCACATGCAGGAGCTGTTGTTCCGAGGCGAAGGCCCTTTTAGTTCCTCAAATGCTTGCTCCGCCTCCTCCGTCCAAACGAACTTCTTCTTACTGCTGAGACAGTCCGTAATGGGCGCCGTCAGGTGGGCAAAGTTTGGGATGAACTTACGATAGAAGTTCCCAAACCCTAAAAACCTCTGCACATCCTTCCTTGTTTTGGGTGTTTTCCATTCCAGTACCGCCTGGACCTTGTCGGGATCCATGGCCAACCCCTTGTCAGACAGGCGATACCCCAGGAATTCCACCTCCTTGGTATGAAACTGACACTTCTCCAGTTTCACCCACAGCTGGTTGGCTTGCAGCCTGCTCAACACTTCTCTGACGTCTCTCACATGCTGCTCCTCATTCTCAGAATACACCAACACGTCGTCTAAGAAGGCCACACAATTCTTGTAAAGCAACGGCCCCAGGACGTGGTTCATAAACGATTGAAATGTTGCGGAGCCTGCTTGTAGACCGAAGGGCATAACTAAGTATTCAAATGCCCCTAAAGGGGTGAACATGGTGGTTTTCCATTCATCCCCCTTCCTTATTCGTATCAGGTTGTACGCCCCCCTTAGATCCAGCTTGGTAAAAATCTTTCCCTTCCGCACCCTTGTCAAAATGTCGTCAATCCTGGGCATCGGGAAGGCCACTGGTTCTGACACTGCATTTAAGGCCCTGAAGTCACACACCAGTCTCGGCTTGTTCGTGTTTTTTGTCCACAAAAACACTGGGCTGCCCCACCGCCCTGGACTCTCTGATGAACCCTCTCTTCAGGTTCTTGTCAATGAACTCTCTTAGCTCCTGCATCTCTCTGTCTGACATGGCGTACAGCTTGCCCACAGGGAGCTGTGCCCCAGGGAGCAAATTGATTTGACAGTCAAAGGCTCTATGCGGTGGTAGTTGGTCAGCTTCCCTTTCGCTGAAGACGTCGCGGAGATCTGCGTATTGTCGTGGTACCTTCACGTTCTCCGTCACTTCAGTCCCTGCTAGAGTGGCTTGGGCCCCTGCCAAAACCCTTCCCTCTTTGCAATGTTCTAAGCAATGTGCTGACCCAAAAGAAACCACTCTTTGATGCCAGCCCACCAGCGGATCATGTAACGCTAGCCAGCTCATCCCCAATATAATGGGAGCTCCTCCCAAGGTGGCCACATTAAATGCTATTAGTTCGGTGTGCCTTGCCACCTTCATTATCATTGGGACGGTCTGCAAGCTGACTTCTCCTCCCAACAGCTCCCTGCCATCGATCGTGGTTACCTGCAGGGGTTGCTTAAAGGAGCGTCTGTATCTGGTGTTCAGCTGCAAACTCTTTGCTCATGAAATTGCAGGAGCTGCCTGAGTCCAACAGCGCCTTTATCTTTAGAGGGTGTCCGTTTGGCAGCTCTAGTGTCACTTCTATCACTAGGGCGGGTTTAGGAGGTTCTGGAGTGGGCACTTTCACTGCTCTTTGGCCTGGCTGCTGTTTAGTTGCTCCGGTATTTTTTCCTCTCTTCCCTCCACAGCTCCCACCATCCCTTGCCATTCCTTCCTCTGGGGGCAGACTCTGGCAAAGTGCCCTGGCTGTTGGCAGAGATAGCATTTCCGGGCGCCTTTTCCATCCTTCTTTCCCCCCTCACTGGGCTTTGAAACTGCGCGCGCGCGCGCTGTTCCGATTTCCATCGGCTCTGCCGGCGGGACAGTTGGCTCTGGAATGTCTGGAATGCGGAACTCCTTCCAACGTTCCCCTTTCCCTTCCCGCCTCTCCAATGCTCTCGCCTCCTGGCGCGCTCCTATGGCCAGCGCTGATTTGGTCAGCTGGTCCATAGACTCCGCCCTGGGCGCCCGGGAAAGTTCATCTTTCACAGCCGAAGAAAGCCCTTCTTCAAAGAGCATTTGAATGGGTTCCGCCGATAAGTCCCACCCCAATCTGTGTATCAGCATGGTGAACTCAGTCCAGTACTCACGTACAGATCGGCTCCCCTGTTTGCAAGCCATTAACTGTCTGCGCACCACTCCCTTTTCAATATCGCTGGAAAACATCAGATCCATGGCGCGAAAGAACTTCATCGTGTCCTTTAGGACGTCACTATGCGCTGCCATCAGGGGTCTCACCCAGTCTCTCGCCCCCTTTTCAAGATGCCCAATCACAAAAGCCACTCGTGATTCCTCATCAGGGAAATCATCAAACTGCAGATTGAGGGCATATTGCATTTCTGTCCGAAAGCTATGATAGTCTTTGGGCTCCCCCCCAAATTTCTGCACCAATCCTGGTACCTTTCTGGCGAGCTGGGTGGCTTTCTCCCTTTGTCTGCATCTTGAGCCCTCCTCTCCTCCAGCCTCGCCGTCTGCAGCGCCAGCTGGACCTCCAACACCCGGTACCTTTCTTCCAGGCTTGGACCCGCTCCAGCCCCTGCTTCTCCGGTTCCTGCTGGGTTGCTCATTATGCCTTCTCCTGCACAAGCTGCGTTCAAAGACTGTCGGAATGCTGTGATGGGATTATGAGCTGCTTGTGCGTAAAATCGTATTCCCTCAGAGTTTGTTCAAGTCCACAAACCTCTGTCTGTGACTGAGCCCCTCTGACATGGCTCCTCTAGTCACTAGAAGATTCCGACAGTGGTTGCTTTCGTAATCGCTTCCAACATAAAAGCTCCTTAACGGAAACACGTCTTCTGGACTCTCTGCGTGACAGTTTCCGGCGAGGAGTGGGTGTCGCTACAGGAGGTCCGGAAACCTCACCACTGTTTTCGCTGGAAGTATCTCTGAGCCATCCCCCCAGCTCCCTTTCCCTCAGTTCAGCTTCTCTCCCCCTGCTGGTTTCCTCTTCCGCTGCTGAGTCTCTTCCAACCTGTCTGAGCCCTTTCACCTCCCTCAGTTCAGCTTCTCTCCCCTTGCTGGTTCCCTCTTCAGCTGCTGAATCTCTTCCAACCTGTCTGAGTCCTTTCACCTCCCTTCCTTCCGATGGCAGTTCCCTGACATGATGTTACAGAGAAATATTAAGGAGAAATTGCAAAGCGGGATTCGCCTGAGCTGCTCATGGCTGTTCCCTCATCAGCCTGACTGAACAAGGCAGACTGGTGCCCGTCACTCAAAGCCAACAACAACAGGACAAAAGCGAGGAAAGCCAGCACCTGAAGAAGCCAGCACCTGAATCCTTGTAACAGGTGGCTTTAAAAGAGGATAATAATAATAATAGTAATAATAATAATAATAATAATAACAATATTTATACCCTGCCCATCTGGCTGGGCTTCCCCAGCCACTCTGGGCAGCTTCCAACCAAATATTAAAATACAGCAATACATCAAACATTAAAAGCTTCCCTAAACAGGCCTGCCTTCAGATGTCTTCTAAAAGTTTGGTAGTTGTTGTTCTCTTTGACATCTGGTGGGAGGGCGTTCCACAGGGTGGGTGCCACTACTGAGAAGGCCCTCTGCCTGGTTCCCTGTAACCTCACTTCTTGCAGTGAGGGAACCACCGGAAGGCCCTCGGCGCTGGACCTCAGTGTCCGGGCAGAATGATGGACCGAGGCTGTTCAGGGCTTTCAAGGTCAGAACCAACACTTTGAATTGCGCTCGGAAACGTACTGGGAGCCAATGTAGGCCTTTAAAGACCGGTGTTATGTGGTCTCGGCAGATTAAATGAATTGATGGTGGATAAAGCTATCACAGCTACTAGTCAGGGCAGCGATGTTCTCTGTCCTCTGTTGGAGGCAGTATGTCTCGGTATATTGTTTGCTGGGAATCACAGGCAGGAAGTGCCATTGGTCCTGGTCGCGGGCATACAAAGAAGCTGAATGTTGCAGGATTCAGGACAGTTAAACTATGGAAATCGCTGCCCCAACTTGGAGGGCTTTAAAAGAGGATTTCACAAATTCACGTGGGGGAAAGGCCTACTGACCACAATGGCTATGCTCTGCTCCACAGCCAGAGGCAGCAATGCTTGCAAAAAACAACAACAACCTGTTACTGGAAACTATGGGAAGGGATAGGGCTCTTGTGTTCGAATCCCACTTGCTGGTTTCCCATAGGCCCGTGGTTACAAAGCACGGATCCACATGGATCCTCAGGATTTTTGCACTGGGCTACCCCAAACTCACCGTCAAATCACATGTCTGTGGCCACAGCATGAACCACAAAAATCATACACCCACTGTTTCGTTCAGAATATTTTTTTTCCTTGTTTTTCTCCTCTAAAAACTAGGCGCGTCTTATGGTCAGGTGCGTCTTATGGAGCGAAAAATACGGTAACTAAGAGGGTGAAACAGCAGTGCTTGCTTAACAGAGGCTAATGTTTGCTGACGAGGAAAAGATTTCAGCTGGGGCAACAGCAGGAATAGCTCCTGGTGCCTTTTCGAAACAGCTCCTTCAGGTGGGGCAAGACCCCCCCGATACAAAGAGAAACTCTTTTCTCACACTTACCATAATGTTCGTAGCGACGACAGACGGGTCATTGCAGACAGATTCGATGAAGAACACCTGAAAGGAAGAGGACATCCATGTGTGTGTGTTTAAGGCAGGGAATAAAACCACACAAAGCAGCTTGGCCCATCTAGATCTCTTTCTATGGCAGACATCAGCTGTCTGAGACCTCGGGGCAGAGAGGTCGCCCTTAGCCCTGCCAGCTGAAAATCCTTCTTGCAACGGGAGATGCCAGGAATCTGTCCTGGGAGACTGGGCACCAGGGTGGATAAAAATCAGATTTTTTTAAAATTTAATCAGAATTATATATTTTTTAATTAAGTTTTTAAAATAAAATGCTTTTGGAGGGGAAATCTTTCTAAAGATAGTTTTCTATTTAAGTTACATTCCAGTCCAAAGGCTATTCATCAGGAAACAATGATTTGTTTTAAGTTTCTCATGTGTGCTAAAACTCAGCCTAAGGTGTGTGTTTTTTAAAAAAAAATTAACCACATCAGTTAACAAACATGGATACATATGCTACAACGTTATTGCTTTAGTTAAATAAATTGTTTAAATTGTTGTAGTATTAAGGAAACGATTGTTTTTCTGCTTCCAATTAAGTACAGCAGAAAAGTTGTCCCAATATAAACAGTTAACTTATTAAACCTCACAATAATTTCATAATGATCTGTCAATGTATTTCTAATAATATAACCAAATCAGTAATTTTTGATATAACTGTAAAAACTACTCTGGAAATTTTTTATTCCAAAAAATGAAACCTTCATCTGGTTGTCAATATTAAGATTATACCAGCAAGAATGAGTCTTTCTGTAAAAAAAATAATGATTTAAATCAAGTCTTAATGACTAGTGGTTTAAATCGTGATTTAGATCGATTTGATTTAAATCAAATCCACCCTGCTGATCCTATGTGTTTCAAGGGAGCCCACAACAACATGGGTGGGGTATTGGAGCCTTAACTCGCCTGCCCCATCCTCTGCTGTCAAGTTTGACAACTGACTGGCAGGGCCTGCAACCAACCATCCCATTTTCAGCCCTAGTGCTATCACATGTGGGGCTGGCCGGCCAAATCAGGACTGGAGGTTCCCCATCACTGTGGGGACAGTAATAATAATAATAATAATCAATTTTTATTTCTACCACGCCCTTCCCGATTCAAAAAACTGGGCTCAGGGTGGCTAACAACAAATTTAAAACACTTAAATCAATTTAGGGGAAATAAGCATTAGGTAATCCCCAGGGCTAGCTGGCTGAATTGGTCCTACTTGGGCCAGCGAGGAGACCAGGGGAGAATTAGCTGTGGGGTCTCAGAGCGGGTGATCTTCATAAAAGGGGAGGGAAGAGAAAGGGAATAAAAGATCAGGCTGAATTCAAATTAAAGGCCAGGAGGAATAGCTCTGTCTTACAGGCCCGACGGAAGGAGGTTAAATCCTGAAGGGCCCTGGTCTCATGGGACAGAGCATTCCACCAGGTTGGAGCCATCACTGAAAAGGCCCTGGCTCTGGTGGAGGATAGTCTGACTTCCTTAGGGCCCGGGACCTCTAAACTGTGGTTATTCATGGACCTTAAGGTCCTCTGCGGGGCATACCAGTAAGAGCCATTTGGAACAGACTCCATTGGGGGTTTAAAGCAGAGGTTGGATGGCCATCTTTCATGGATGCTTTAGCTGAGATTCCTGCACTGCAAGGGGGGCTGGACTAGATGACCACAGGGACCCCTTCTGATTCTATGTGTAACCTACTTTTAAAAGAAAACAGCATCGGTACAATGATTGCTCAGGTCATCTCCTAGGAGACCAGGGCGGCATTCAGACACATCAACAGGCACAGCCAAGAGCAAGCCTAAAAGGCAGGGCTGCAATCATTTATTTTCATTCAGAAATACATCACTTAAAACAAAAACACTTACTTTGAAACCATTTTCTTTGGCAAAATGCAAGATCATAGATCTTCTCTCGCGTGTGGTGTTTGTAGCATCAAAAACCTTTGTGGGTAGAAAAGAAGAGAAATAATGTCATGGGGCTTATTATTATTTTTACTGACATGCACTTAACTTGAAAGGAGGGGTATAAATTGGCTTTGGGTGGTTACTGGCTTGTGGCAATGTGGAGGTGTGCTTTTTTAATTTATGGCACTTTTGTTGTGGAATACCCCCTCGGCTGAAATATGAGAGGCCTCATTAGTATTGGCATTCGACCGGCTCCAGAAACTTCCCCCCTAGCAGATCTTCTGATTTTATTGTTTATTTTGAAAACTGTTCCAATTCTTACGTTTTTTAATTGTTCATTTTTGCTGTATATTTTAATTAAGGATGTTTTAATGACCCAGTGAAGTTGTGCTTGTGGGTTTTAATTCTGTATTGACTGTGTTGTCCTCTGCTTGGAAGCTATTTTGGCATACACGGTAAATTAAATGTTGTTTCAATAGAAAGTTATGTTCCCAATGTGGCTGATAAAGCAGCAAGAAACAATGGAAGCATAAATTAAAATTATTGGGGGTAGAGGCTAATACACGATATACCCCAAAAGAGCAAACCAAAATAGGATGAGTCCATTCAGACATACACTAAAATCAAAACTGTTCGAAAAGAACATCAGCCGTTCTTAAAAGCATGGGGAAACAATTGCTGTGGGTTAAACATTCCATTTGCTTTTTTTTTTAAATGAAGGACTGAACCCAGAACCTTCTTAACACAAAGCAAGTGGTCTCCCACAGAGCTAGAGCCCATTAGGGCTCTTCTGTTCTTAAGCCAGAGTGCAGAGTCAGTTTCTGTAGAGCACAAGACTCTTAATCTCACGGTTGTGAGTTCAAGCCCCACCTTGGGCAAGATTCCTGCTTAGCGGAAGGGTTGGAGTAGTTGACTCTCGTGGTCCCTCCAACTCTAAAATTCTATGATCCTACCTGTTAAAGACAAGAAGTGTATTCCCTCTTTCTTGGTAAGTTTAAAATACAGTGGTACCTCTGGTTGCGAACGGGATCCGTTCCAGAGGCCCGTTCGCAACCTGAAAAGAATGCAACCCGCATCTGCACATCTGTGCGTGTGTGGGTCACGATTTGCCACTTCTGTGCATGCGCGTGACGTCATTTTGCGCATCTGCGCATGCACGAGCAGCAAAACTCTTTCCGGTACAGTCATACCTGGAGTTGAATGCGATTTGGCTTGAGCGTGTTCGAGTTGCGCTCCGCGGCAACCCAGAAGTAACGGAGCGCATTACTTTGGGGTTTCGCCGCTCACGCATGCGCAGACGCTCAAAATGACGTCACGTGCATGCGTGGAAGCGGCGAAATGTGACCCACACAGCCGCGTCTTGTGTTCTGTTCGGGATGCGAACGGGGCTCTGGAACGGATCCCGTTCGCATCCTGAGGTACCACTGTACTTCCGGGTCGCCGCGGGACGCAACCTGAAATCGCGCAACCTGAAGCAAACGTAACATGAGGTATGACTATACAGTGGTGTAGGTGGGGTGTCAATTAAAAGAGAGAGAATCGCCATACCCCTGAGCTGAAGTGTACACAGGAGCGCCTTTCCCCCCCCCCCCCCCCCGGACACCAGCTGTTCAAACATGGCCTCAACAGGAAGCTGCAGCCAAGCTCCAGAGACAACCACATCACTCTCAGGATGCGACACTCACCGCAATCTGGCCACCTTCCTCGGACAAGTACAGTTTGACATCTCGCAAGGCGGCTAAGGCACATTGCCTGCAACAACAGGGAAAAGGCAAGTTCAGGACATTTCGAATCATAGCTTTTACAGGAAGCCCAAGGGCCAACTGGCCCCAATTATGCTACCCCCAAAAAAAGACACAGAACGACGACGTTCCGTCCATCACCTCCCAAAGCCTCCCCACCCCATCCCCAAGGAGGGAACCCCGGTTCGTCCCCATGCTTGGCTCGTCGGTCTTCCCCATGGGTCTGCAAGGCCAGTCACTGCCCTGATGTGCTGATGTGGACAAGAGCTCTTTTGAGGCTCAAAAGCCAACTCCACGCAACCAACAGGGCACCTTGCTACTTCTTATATTGGCTTGGGGATACAGAGCAGCCTGGGATGCAGGTGGCACTGTGGGTTAAACCACAGAGCCAAGGGCTTGCTGATCAGAAGGTTGGCGGTTCGAATCCCAGCAACGGGGTGAGCTCCTGTTGCTCTGTCCCAGCTCCTGCCAACCTAGCAGTTAAAAAGCACACAGTGCAATTAGATAAATAGGTACCACTCCGGCAGGAAGGTAAATGGCATTTCCGTGCACTGCTCTAATTTCACCAGAAGTGGCTTAGTCATGCTGGCCACATGACCCGGAAGCCAATAAAGCTAGATGAGCGCCGCAACCCCAGAGTCGGCCACGACTGGACCTAATGGTCAGGGGTCCCTTTACCTTTTACGAAGCACCCTGGAGAGGCCTCCCAACTGGCATTGAAACATACGAGCTCCCAAAAGTCAAACTTTCAATTCAAGAAAAGAGCAGAAGGTAAAAAACAAACAAACCAGGATGGAGGAAACTTGGAGCATAATAGCTTGACTTACTTGCGGACTTTCATAGCCTCCTCATTATCAGGACGAAAGAAGTCGTAGGAGCTGTAATGCTTCACGGCCTCACGCCGATACTCCCCGACATTAAACACTGCAAGGAGAAAGAGTCAAGGAGAGTCAAGGCGCCTGCACTTTTGTTAAGTGAAAAAGACATGGAAACCCATGAAATTCAATGAACTTCTCTTCCAAGAACAAGCTGCGTGGGTCGGGCTTGTAAACAGCCACTTGCCTGCCTGAATCGGGTCCCCCTGAAGGGCCCCTTTTTTTTTGTAAAAGCAGATGAAAGCATGGCTCATTTTCCTCCAGACGAGTGAAAAGCATAGATACATGCTGGGTTGTGGGTTCGAATCCCACACTGGGCAAAAAGATTCCTGCATTGCAGAGGGTTGGACTAGATGACTCTTGGGGCCCCTTCCAACTCCACAATTCTATGATTCCATGCTACTAACATATTTGTGGAGCCGCAAGTGATTTCCAAGAGAGACTGTTATGGATTGCCTCTGTCTCTCTGGTTTCTCTTTGGGAAAGACCTGCACTGACCCAGGTACCTCAAAAAATGATTTGAGCTACAGCCACCTCCTTATAAATCTTGGAAGCACACAATGAAAATCACTAGTAGATTATTGGACATAACAGAGGTTTCCCAACACTTGAGCCTCTGAAACAGGTAACCAAACTCCCCAAATAGCTTGGTCAGCGGTCCAGTTCCAAGAACTGACTTTGGGGCAGATGCAACATGCATCAAAATGCAACTCAACGTCATGCAGGAGAAATTATCAGACGCTGTAAGAGCAAAAAAGAATAACTCTGCCGGATGAGACCAAAAGTTACTTAGTTCAGCTAGGCTAGCTAGCAGACCTAACGAGAAGAGTCCGTGACCAGAAGGAGCAGGAGTATCAGGAAGAATGGGATAAATTTAATGATTATTTAGTTAAATTTGTTAAGTTAAACTAACTGGAAATAGCTTGCAGATACTTAATGGGCTTAGGATTTTATTTATGTTAAGTGATGAATTAATATGTTTAATTCTATAAGGTGAAGATCTAAGGATGTTAATGTTTAAGTTAAATTTCATAAAAATTGGGATTTGGAAAACCGTTAAAAGGATAGGCCATGAAATTCAACCAAGGGGAAGCGAGGAAGTCACTTAACAAAGTTAATAACTGTAATTTTTAATAAGGCTATGATTTATGTTTGTTTTGTTTGTTTGTCTTGTGTGTTTGTTTGTTTGTTTGTTTATAATATTGTGAAAACCAATAATTTTTTTGGAAAAAACAAAACAAAAGTTAATTAGTTCGGCATCCTACCTCCCCAGAACAGCCAATGAAATACTGTATCTAATGCACCATCGAATCTAATGCGCACCAAAAAAAGGAGCACATTACAGTTGAGTAAATACGGTACTTCTTAGAAGCAGGACCTGTTGCTCCCAACACAGGCACCCAGGGGCTTCAACTATAAAGCCTCAAGTCAGCCCAGAATCTCACCTTTTGTCGGGACGCCGATCCAGTTGAGGTAGCGGGTCAGCTTCTTGGAAATGTAGGTTTTCCCACGAGCCGGGAGGCCGACCATGACGATCACAGTGGGGGAATTGGTAAGCTGAGGGCCACATGCTATGGGCAGGTGAAGAAGGGAGAAAGAAAATGGATGTTGAAAAGGGAGACGACTTGTCATATCAATACTACATGTTTTTATAAAGGCAGGCAACTGGGATCATAGAATTCTAGAGTTGGAAGGGTCCAAACCATCTTGTCCAATCCTATGCAGCTGTCCCACACAGGAATTGAACTTGCAACCTTGGCATTATCAGCGCCATGCTCTAACCAGCTGAGCTATCCAGACTGGCCAGCACGCCTGGCCCAATGGAGATAGTGGTGCCTTGCAGCCAAGAGACAAAGCTGTGAGTTAAGATCTCTCCCCGGTTCCACGGAATTAAACTCAGCAGCTGACCAGAGGCTAATCACCGCCTCTCAGCCTCAGTCCCTCTTTCTGCAATATGGGGATAAAACAGACCTAATTCCCAGATTACCAAGAGAATGCATGCAAAGCAACTTGGAATGTTCAAAAAGCATTATGCGAACATCCTGGTCGCATATCAGCCTTTTCTACTGCAGCCTCGAGACAAAACCTGCTAGACATCAAGGATCAAGACGCTGAAAGCCTGCCGGCTCATCCTTAGACTGGGACATGAGCCAGACAGAGACAGCCAAGCGGCAAGGACACTCAGGAAGAAATCTCCTGCTGTTCTGAAACATACACACGGGTTTGTTTGTGTTAATCGGAGCCCAACTCAGAATTCAGCAGCCTAAGAATTTCAAGTTTCTGCCTCTTGCAGGTCGCAAAAACAGAACAGGACTTGAGAATTGCTTTACTCCCAGAACCTTAGAAGCCACTCAGAGAAAAAGCCTAAAATTCTACAGAAGGGTTCCTTCCTTTTGTCTAAGCTCCCCTGACATGCAAGGTGCAAGTCACAGGTGTTGCTAACAACTCTCAAGATAGCAAGCTGGCTGTCGCTCAACAGAACGGAAACTCATTTCTTTGCAACCCAGATTTCCACTGCTACTCTCCCAGAACCTGGCACAAGAGGGCCGTATAAATCTCTGGGTTTGGTCCTCCTACCTGCCACATCCCTGTAGCAAAACAAGTGTAATAGTCTATAAAAGTGCATTGGCATGAGAGCATGATGGCAAAAGGATTCTTGCCAAGCCATCTCTGCCGGTTTGTGGAGGCAGGAGAAGAGTTCAGGGCAGAATGATGAGCAATTGGCACCCAGTCCGCCGTGATGGCCCCCGGGGGAGTTTCAGAGTGGAAAGCCATGCCAAATCCAATAAAAAGTTCCAGCCTTCCTTTCTGGCATTCCAAGAATCTCTGCCGAGAGGTTTCGCACAGGAACAAGGTGGGTCATCCTCGCAAAGGAGGATGCAAGCAGGTGATGTACGGAAGATCCTCGCAGCATGAAATGTAGGAGCTCAAGGCTGCTGCCTTATACAGAGTCAGACCTCTGGGCCATCTACCTCAGGATTGTCTACCAGTGTTTCTAAACATTGTGTGTCCCCAGATGTTGTTGGACTACAATTCCCATCATTCCTAGCCAGCATGACCAGCGGTCAGGGATGATGGGAGTTATAGTCCAACAACATCTGGGGACACACAGGTTGAGAAACACTGGGACTGGCAGCAGCTCTCAGGGGCTTCAGCTGGCAGTCTCTTACAAGTCCTATTTGGACATGTCAGGATTTGGTCACAGCAATATCGAGAAACTGAGAGCACAAGCCCTACATCACCAAGGGGAAAAGGCCAGGAAGAAAAAAATCTAGGCTGGGTTCATCATCAGCCACACTTACAGGACCTTTCCTCTTTGCATTTTTGATGCTTCAGGACAGCAGTGACCCAGAAGGACTTGAAGTCCTGCTATGCTTTAAGAGCACAGTGGTACCTCGGGTTAAGAACGTAATTCGTTCTGGAGGTCCGTTCTTAACCTGAAACTGTTCTTAACCTGAAGCACCACTTTAGCTAATGGGGCCTCCCGCTGCCACTGTAGCACGATTTCTATTCTCATCCTGAAGCAAAGTTCTTAGCCTGAGGTACTATTTCTGGGTTAGCGGAGTCTGTAACTTGAAGCGTCTGTAACCTGAAGCGTATGTAACCCGAGGTACCACTGTATTGGGGGGGGGGGGGGATTCAGCAAAGCCTGGTTCTCTTCATTACTGTAAGTACCACTTAACAGCCAGGAGTGGTGGAGCAGAGGCATATGACCACTTTTAAATTCCATCCTCATTCCAAGGCTCAGATGTAGGGATTTGGAGCCAAGCGCATCTGTCGTTAAAATATTACTGGAAAGCCACGCTCGAGTGCGTGCTTCGTCGAACACTTTTTTCTTATTTTGCTCCAGGCTTTGAATGCAGTTAAGTGTTTTCTCAAAGCGCAGCAAGCCTCCAAGTTTATCCAGAATTTTTAAAAAGGCTTTCCAAAAAGCTACACACCAGCAATATATTTTTTCCCCACACATAACGGAGAAGGGGTTGCCGAAAAAGTGGGGTGCGGGGATGTGTGGGGTCTTGCATCAGAAAGCATTAATGCACGTATTTCAGAAGGAGGGATGTGAGGAAAGGTTAATGATGGGGCTCAGTCATTTGTGGCTGTTTCGGCTTTCAGAGAGGGCTACATGAGCACTTAAGCAACGAGAGGCTTTTTCGAAAAGAATTAATGTTACAGGACACAATGTGGTCCAGGAAGGATATTGCATCATTTATCCTCAGAAGCATGATCTAACAGGGACATTTCAAACACTGCAAGTCACTCCAGACAGGCAACAGACCCAATAACTGGGAGACACAATCTCATATCCCAAGGAAAAATATATTAAGTGTTTGAAGTCTGGAGGGGGGGTAATATATACGAGGCTCCAGAACAAATATATACAACATTGCGATTCCATGCAGCAAACCAGCAGCAGTTCTGCATTCACTGCCTTCTAAACTAACGGTCTGAAAGAATCTGGTTTGGGACCGTAATAAATTTCATTTCATTTCAACAGTCTGAAAAGACCTGCAGGTAAAGGACCCCTGGACCGGTTTAAGTCCGGTCAAAGGCGATTGTGGGGTGTGGCGCTCATCTCACATCTACACCTGTACTCATACCTGGAGCGGCTGAAATTGTCAAGAAACTCTGGCAAGCACCCAGAAGCAATTCTATGGAATTGGGGAGTCAGGCCACTGCCAGCTACACTTCACACTGCAAAATTACACAAAAGAAACAGCACTATATATTCTGTACCAAGGGGTTGGTGGAAGGGGCTGGGGCAACGGCACTTTGAAACTACAATGCAATGGTTGAGCTTAACATGTTTAAGCCGCTCTTTCTGTCCTCACATGCCACACCAATGCAATCTGGGAAAGAGAGAGCTCTCCCCAACGCCATTCTCCTCCCTTGCTGGCCTCACGTCATCTCTGCCCATTCAGCCAGCAGCGCCGCCAGATCCTACGTGGGAGACGTGCAATTTGACAGAAAATGAATGGATCGCCCCTAGGAAACCCAGCAAGGCATCACTCTGCAACAGCAGCAGCAGCAGCCGCCAGCCCTGAAATTAGATCTCTCAAAGACCACACAGACACACCCACAAGGCATGCAGAGTGACTGAACTGCAGGATGCTTAGAAAGAAGCAGCAAATGACTCCTCGCTCCTCCCTCCTGGGTTTCACTCTATTTGCATCAGATAAGAGCCCAAGCTGAATGCATCCCATTATTTCAAGCCTTCCTCATCTTTTTTTTGCAAAGAGGTACCCAGAAGAGTAAAATGAACCCAGAGCTTGCGAAGGGAGACTAGGGTTTTTCCTTTATGCTACAAGGAGAAATAGGCGTAACCAAAGGAATCTCTACCTGCACAATTACAAACATGAACAGAAAGGCTCTCAGAGAATAGGAATGGGGGGTGACACTCATTTTAAAGACAGGGTATGCTTTTTGCAAGGGCCCCAAAGACTGTGGGTAAGGAAGCGCCACCTGTTCTCTTCCCCCATAAGGCTAACCTTCTCCCTTCAAGGTGGGCACATGGCCCAACAGGCAGCAAAGCCGGTCACAAGGCAACAGGGATGGGAGATGAATGACTGATTCAGGGCTTCGAAGCCCCCACCCACAACTCAAGAGAGGCTTTCCAACACTGCTTCTTGGACAGCAGTGCTTAGGAACATCCCCGGTTCCTTGGGGGCTTTTAAAAGACAAAACATAATTAAAATCCAGAGGGGAAGATGTGGATTGAGAGAAAATGCCTAGATTAACTATGTGCATGAATTAATTCAGCTGCCAGGGAAAGAGGAGGGAATCAAGTGAAGATTGCAAAAGGAAATCCCTTTGCAAGAGGCTTGTCTTTGTGCCTAGCTGCTCTTAAGGGAGTTGCTGGACTACAACTCCCATCATCCCTGACCTGGTTGTGGGTTGATGAGATTCTGAAGTCCACATCATCAGGAAGGACAAAGGTTCCCCTTTCTGCAAAGGCACAGCAGATTGTACCGCCCAAAGGCGGCAGCCCCACTGAAAGCCTGCTGTTAAGAAGTTGCCTGTTCCACAAGAACAGGAGAGGCTGCCTTATATGGAGCAAGGCCTTTGGTCCACGCAGCACAGGATCACCTAGGTTTGCTCAGCCAAGTCTCCCAAGGTTGCAGGCAGGGGACACTTCCAGCCCTTATCCGGAGATGCCCCGGACTGAACCTGCCTGGCTCCCGATGCAGATCAGATGCGGCTGAGCCAAGGACCTTTCCTTTAAGTCAGAAAACTGGTCCACAAAGCTCAGCTTCCTGGGATCGTTGCCAATCAGGCCAGATCCATACAAACCACCTGAAGGCCCCCCACAGAATCCTGGGAAACGTAGTTTCACACCGAGAGAGCTACAATTCCCAGCACCCTATCAAACTACAGTTCCTAAGATTCTTTGTGGCGGCAGCGGGAGTCATGTGCTTAAAATGTGTGGGGTGAACCTGCCCCTTCCACTAGAGATGAGCAGGCAGGGGGTCCTTCCGCAAGCAAAACTGGGAGAATAGGAAAGGGGAGGAGGTAATAGGGGGAGCTTCCTCGGAGGTGCAATGCGGCAAGGCACCCATCCCTCCTCCTCCTCCTCTCTTGCAGCCCGACCTTTTTCTCCCACCCACGTGGAGCCGGGGTCCTCTTCCCGCCGGCCCCAGCAACCCACTCATCCGGATGGGCAGCTATTTCCCCAGGGGCGCGACGACCCCGCCGGGGGATGGTTCCCACGCTGAGCGATGCGCAGGCGGCTGGGACACGCCTTTCACCGAGGAAAGCCGAGCATCAGCTCGGGTCGCCACCGCTTTGCACGCCAAAGGAAGCCTCCGGTGCGCTCTCCAGGAGGCGGGAGACCTCGAGCCATGGGGGACCGCCGCTTTCCTGGGAGAGCTGCTGGGAATCCCCAAGGCACCACCCGGAGCTGCATCGAGGAGCCGCGGCGTGACTCAGCAGCGAGGCAGGCGCCTGCTCCGCACATCGCGCGCGGAGAGCCCCTGGAGGGGAGCGCGCCCCTGCCGCCGCCATGCGAGTCGTGCAGCGCATCGCATCGCCGCCGCGGCGGGAGGAGGGCAGAGGAAGCGGAGGCGTGGCGCACCGGCGCAAAGGAGAGCATTTCAGGTCATCCACATGGCCCTGCCGGCCCGGCTAGCCGGGAATAGCTTCTTCCCTGCCTCGCCGGACCTTCGCGATAAGCGAGGCAGAGGCGCAGCCGGCTCTCTCCTTCCAGCCGGCAGCTTCTCCAAGGCTCGGTTTCAACCCTTTTCCCACGGGGGGGAAAGCGAGGCCCGGCTCCCTAGCCGCCGCTTCTCCGCACGCGGCAGCCGAGCCCTTTCCGCCCGCCGTGGAGGCGCGGCTCGTTTCCGGGTACCGGCGAAGGAGAGGCGCGCAAGGTTGCCGGTGGCCGGCAGCCCGCACGGTGCCGGCTCCCCGCCCACGGCGCCGAGAACGGGCGCGCGGAGGGGTACACGCGGGGCTGCACAGCTCGAGACTCCCGTCCCACCAAAAAGAGAGGCGGGGGAAAAAACACACTTTTCAGTCTAAACACACACAAAAAAACAATGAAAACGCCAATTCCCCGGCGCACAATATGCGCACAGTGCGTTTTACGCACTGGATGCTACCCAATTTCTTAAAAAATGGGAAAAAATGCATTCTAGTTTAAATCAGATCCTTATTTTTACCGGACCCATCTTTCTCTTCTACAGATTTTAGGGGTCAACCGGGTCCTTTGCGTACCCCCCTAAAAAGTCTCACGCCCCCCAAATCACGTTCACTCTCCTCCACGAATACTCAAGGACGCCCCGTCTCCAAAACCGACGCCGAGGCGCCTCCAACCTTCAGCATCTCGTGCCTGGTTTAGCGGATGCGAGGATGCTCCGAATCCCTGCCGATTACTTGAACGACCCCCGCCGATCGATTCCCACCCCCAGACCCTATTGTACTCACATCTATGGGGCAGCGCCGGGTGATTGTCGGGCGGGAGCCAAATTTTCTGGATGCGGCTTTGCGTTAGCTCCATCGGCATTTTTAAAGCGAAGGTCTCGACGCGCCCCGGTTCCACCTTGGGTTGAGGATGCGGCGGCCGGAGGAAAGGCGAGACGTGGGTGGAGGGAAGAAAACAAAGGGAAGAAGCCCTTTCTCTTTCCTTTTTATTATTATCTTTTGGGTCTGTCTCGCTTCCTTTTCCAGGAATCGGGGGACTCCTGTCGTCTCTTAAGGCGTCTAGGCTGTAACGCAATTTAATATGTATCTAAACCGACTTTCCAAAAAGAAATTCCCCCTTCCCCCTGCTGGATTGAAAGGAAGGACAGCTCTCTCTTCGATCCCCGGTCAAGAATCGGAGCAAGCCCTTGCAAAGCGGGAAAGCGAGGCTGTTAGTCCTTAAGTGCCCTTCTCTTTGAGATCAGATTAATAGATGCGCCCCGCATCGGGTTCATTCAGCGCTACGAGTGACTGGCGGCTGCCCGGCACGGCTATTTCTATAGGCCGGCCTGCCGGGGGAAAAACGAGTCTGGCGTCACGGCCCGCCTCCTCCTGCCGGGGCCAAGGGGGCGGGAGAAGCTCTTTCGCTCCCTCTCGCGTCCTGAAGGAGGAAAGGAGGCGAGACGCCGCGCAAAGCAGCCCCCGGCTGCCCCCATCCGTCGGCCGGCTGAACTGAAGCCAGCGGAGCTCTGCAGAGACAAAGCGACACGAAAAACCTTTTCCAGGCGGGGCAACAAAAGGTCCATTTGAAAAAGAAGATTAGTAAAGGGTTTCCCCAACAGCTGCAATTCCCATCATCCCTGACCACTGGTCCTGCTAGCGAAGGATGATGGGAGTTGCAGTCCAAGAACAGCTGGAGACCCAAGCTGGGGAAACACTGATTTGATACATATTCCCAGATGTTGGTGGACTACAGCTCCCATAAAGGTAAAGGACCCCTGACCATTAGGTCCAGTCGTGGCCGACTCTGGGGTTGCAGCACTCATCTCGCTTTATTGGCTGAGGGAGCCGGCGTACAACTTCCAGGTCATGTGGCCAGCATGACTAAGCCGCTTCTGGCGAACCAGAGCAGCGCACAGAAACACCGTTTACCTTCCCACCGGAGCGGTACCTATTTATCTACTTGCACTTTGACATGCTTTCGAACTGCTAGGTTGGCAGGAGCAGGGACCGAGCAACGGGAGCTCACCCCGCCGCAGGGATTTGAACCACCGACATTCTGATCAGCAAGTCCTAGGCTCTGTGGTTTAACCCACAGGGCCACCCACATCCCAGCCACAGCTCCCATATCCCCAGCCATATTCCCAGATTCCCAAACGTCTTGCTCTGCTTTCCTTTGGACCGCATCAGCAAGGCTGAGAGAGGGATGTTGTGGTCAGGGCAGCCCAGGACCTCCTGAAACGCTGCTCAGGATCGCACCTTGAATAAATCACTTTGGTACTGCTAACACAGCAGTTTGACTTCACGCCCAGAGGCACACTCCCTTGTCTCTTGAGACAGACTGGACGCCAACAATTCTCAGATCAGATCATTCTCAACCAGCTTAGCCAATGGGTATGGGGTGGTGTTTGTTGCTGTAGCCCAAAAACTGGAGGGGGACCCAAGACTGAACAACAATGTAATAAGATACAGAGGATGTTGTGGAAGGAAACAATTAAGCCTGTTTCATCCCTACTGGAGTTATTTGGACTAGACTTTTTGGGCTTATTCCCAAGAAAACCTGCACAAAAAATTGCAGCGCTGGTATCCTCATGGCAGGATTTTGGGGCTGATCTCCAGGGCCCCCACTCAGCAAAAGGATCCCCAAACACACCAGGGCTTTCTTTCTGCATATTGAAATAAGGAGGTAAAGCACATTAGCATCTAAAGAGCGGCACCCATGAGGCCATTAAACCCAGAATTCAAAATTACTTAACTGCATCATTTGTGGACTGCACACTTAATAAACATGCATTTAACAAACATGTATTTAATTATCTCACTAAAATCAATGGGACTGTCCCTAGCAATCCAGTGAGTGCAATGGGATTTGCTGCTGAGTAGATCCCCAGCAAGCAAAGTCAAGGATGGATGAGGGAAGCTGTAGACTGGCAACATCTGGAGGGCCAGAGGTTTTCCCTGTCCCTGGGGAAGAAGTATTTCGATTGGATCATAAAGGGAAGACTGTGAAATTATTTCCTTTTAATCATTTGACCAAATCCAATGATCACTTTCCACAGAGAGTTGCATGCATGGGAAGCTGCCTTATACAGAGCCAGACCATTGGCCCATCTAGGTCAGTGTTGTCAACACTGACTGGCAGCTGCTCTCCAGGGTTTTCCAGAGGGGTCTCTCCCCATCCTGCCTGGAGATGCCAGGGACAGGACTGGGGGACCTTCTGTCTGCAAAGCAGATGTTCTTACTATTGAGCGATGGAAATTTCCTTGTACGCAATGAGATTACCGGTTCATCTTGCTCAGTACTGCCGTCACCCCTTGGATTTCCAGTTAGCAACCCACAAGCTTCATTCAGGGGGCCTGCGGCACCTGTGGATTTATGGTTGAAGAAATATTTTTATCTGTTTTTAACTGAACTTATTATTGCATCTTACTGTACTGCAGTTCTCGCTATAGCACACCAAAATACAATACAGCCATACCTCAGAAGTTGGAAGGAATCCATTCTGGAAGTCTGCTCGACTTCCATAATGTTCGGAAACCAAGGCACGGCTTCCGATTGGCTGCAGGAAGTTCCTGCAGCCAATCGGAAGCCACAGAACCAACATTGGATGTTCGGGTTCCAAAGAACGTTCACAAACCGGAACCCTCGCTTACAGGTTTGCGGCATTCGGGAGCCAAAACGTTCGACTTGCAAGGCAAGAAGAAGAAGAAGAAGAAGAAGAAGAAGAAGAAGAGGAGGAGGAGGAGCAGGAGTTTGGATTTGATATCTCGCTTTATCACTTCCCGAAGGAGTCTCAAAGCAGCTAACATTCTCCCCCACAACAAACACTCTGTGAGGTGAGTGGGGCTGAGAGACTTCAGAGAAGTGTGACTAGCCCAAGGTCACCCAGCAGCTGCATGTGGAGGAGCAGGGAAGCGAACCCGGTTCACCAGATTACGAGTCCACCACTCTTAACCACTACACCACGCTGGCTGAAAGCGGCAACGAAAAATACAATTAAAAAAATGGCCGTATCTAGCAAAAGTATAGTTGCTACAAGACGCAGAAAAATCATTAATTGGTCCCAGAAGACCCTCAGCAATTTTCAAGTGGTCCATAGTGGGGAATGGTTTAGGAACCACTGGGTAGCCGGGACTCACAGCCTCTCTCCGGGGTTTCAGACATGGCACGTTCCCAGTTATACCTGGAGATACTGGGATCAAATCTGGGACTTCCTAAATGCAGAGCAGATATGCTCTACTGCTGATCTACAACCCTTCCTTACTATGCAAACTCTCTACTAGCCATGCCTCTGACTGGGAACAAGGGGACTGGCTCTGAACTAGTTTTTCTTTTTTGCTTTCTGGTGCTCTGAAACGGGACATTGCTGGTAAATTGAAGAGGAAACACATTTTATCTTGAATGGATTGTCAAGGCAATTTTTGGAGCAACGTTTAAAATGATGCTGCTGGATTCAGAAAAGAGAGTTGCACATGAGATGGGGAGAGGAGAGAACAGGGCCTTTGTATGGTACTAACTTGGGGTTTTTTCTGCAAGAGAAATTATCAACAGGCATTTCCACAAATGCAAAACTAGCTGCTTGAAGGAATGCCATTCTGATTACCATTTAAAGGCGCAGCACAGTCCTCAGGGCGCACCTATCATTACGGACTGCTGGGGACTTCGCATAGCGTGCCAGGGCTGGATTTGGGTTTCTGTTTTGGATGCAAGAGTTCTACACCCATCAATGTTGCTTCAAGCTGACAGCATTTCCATAGGAAGCCGCCTTGCACTCAGACCCGTTGTTTTGCCAACCTTGACAGACTCTAGCTCTCCAGGGTTTGGGGCAAGGAATCCCTTTCCCAACCCTGCCTGGAGACCTGTTGAACCTAGGATCTTGTGCATGCAAAGCAGATGCTAGTGTGAGCTAGTGTGAGTGTAGTGGTTAAGAGCGGTGGACTCGTAATCTGGTGAACCGGGTTCGCTTCCCCGCTCCTCCACATGCAGCTGCTGGGTGACCTTGGGCTAGTCACACTTCTCTGAAGTCTCTCAGCCTCACTCACCTCATAGAGTGTTTGTTGTGGGGGAGGAAAGGAAAGGAGATTGTTAGCCGCTTTGAGACTCCTTAAAAGGTAAAGGTAAAGGGACCCCTGACCATTAGGCCCAGTCGTGGCCGACTGGGGTTGCAGCGCTCATCTCGCTTTATTGGCCGAGGGAGCCGGCATACAGCTTCCAGGTCATGTGGCCAGCATGGCTATGCCGCTTCTGGCGAACCAGATCAGCGCACGGAAACGCTGTTTACCTTCCCACCGGAGTGGTACCTATTTATCTACTTGCACTTTGACATGCTTTCGAACTGCTAGGTTGGCAGGAGCAGGGACCGAGCAACGGGAGCTCACCCTGTTGTGGGGATTCAAACCGCCGACCTTTTGATCGGCAAGCCCTAGCCTCTGTGGTTTAACCCACAGCACCACCCGTGTCCCATGAGACTCCTTAGGGTAGTGATAAAGCGGAATATCAAATCCAAACTCTTCTTCTTCTTCTCTACCAACTGAGCTATATGGCCCTCACTAAACAGGAACATAAGGAACTGCCTTATATTGAGTTACATCACTGGTCCATCTAGCTCACTATTGGCTACACTGACTAGCAATGGGATTTCAGACAAGGGTCTTTTCCGAGCTGTGCTTGAAGATGTTACAGCCTGGACTTGAGACCTTTTGCATGTGACCCAGTTGCTCTGCCACTGAGCTGAGATTCTTCTAGGACATTTTTAGAAGTGGTTATGGAGGTTTGCAGATAAGAGGAACTTACAGAGTAACACAAAAACCAACCTGCCTAAAAGCAGCTGTTTGGATCTCACAGAATCCTAGAATTGCAAAGGGACACCAAGGGCCATCTAGTCCAACCCGCGACAATGCAGGAATCTCAACTAAAGCATCCATGACAGAGGGCCACCCAACCTCTGCTTAAAAACCTCCAAGGAAGGAGGTTCTCGCCCGGTACCTGATACTCCTTTACGACTAAGGTCCTCCTGAGACAAGCCAATAACATTGCGCCACCCGAGTCCATTGCATTATGCAAGGGGGGGGGCAATCTGTGGGTCTCCTGCAGGGTTCCAGGCGTATGACGGAGCAGAGTGGGGCAGCCTGGGTCAGAGCTACTGGAATACAGGGGCTCAGCATACAGCCTTAAATTTTGTTCATCGTGACCCGACAGACTGATTTCATATGTTAACACTGCCGTCAGTGTTGCATGGGCCTTTTGCAAAATGCAAGCGGACAGGACTCTGCCCCGAGGAGATTGCATTCTAAAACTCGCTACAAAGATGTTGTGGGGGGAAACAGAGGCAGCGGAAAATAGCAAGGGCAAGGATCATCACCTGGCACCCTTGGACAGCGGCTGGTACCCTGGCACCTTTTGAGAGCCCACCACTGAACACCCCCCCAACTTTAATTTTTTCCCCCAGCCATCACTCTGAACAGCACCAGGCAGCTGAATCCACCTGCCACTTTAATTTTCCACCTCTCCCCCAACATAATATCAGAATGGGGGTGTGAAGACCCGGGTGGATATGTTTTCCCTTTGAATTCTCTCCCCCGCCCTTTCATATTCTTCCGACACCGAATATTCTATAGCCCCACCCACGCTTGCATCCACCTGCATCTGTGCACACATGGCTCAATCCCTAAACACTCTGCAGCTCGAGTGAAATTTGCCTAGAGATGAAACGCAGCTTCCTTAAGTTAGGGAGAGGCCGGCCACAGAGAAAGCAAAAGGGGGTCAGCTGACTCACTCTGTGGCTGTGGCACGTTCCTCACGTCCCACATGGTTCCGCTGGGGAAGGAGACAGACCAGCCTGCCTGTCACTCATCCCTGGATGCAGGTGCCGCTGCAAATCCAGGAGCGTCCTGCAGGGACCACTCCGTCCTCAACTCCATTCTTGGTCCCAGCCACCAGCCAAGCATGTGCCTCTCTCGTGCTCAGAGAAGTGCCCTTCTCCCGTTCTTGCCTCCAGGGGACTGACTGGCACTCGGGAGCAGCAGGCAGATGCGCCCTGGCAAGGTTGCCCAGAGCGCTGATATTACCCACAATGCAGCTCAGGATACTGAGCTATATTGGAGAGCAAGCCTTTTTAAGTAGATGTGGCTTTTTTAAAATCACACTCAGCATGTGGTTTTGAACTATTTTAAACTATTTTTAGATATAGATAGATAGATAGATGATAGATAGATAGATAGATAGATAGATAGATAATGATCCATACATAAAAAGGGTTTTGAATTGTTTTAAATTGTTTTATATACAGTGGTAACTTGGGTTAAGAACTTAATTCATTCTAGAAGTCTGTTCTTAAGCTGAAATTGTTCTTAACCTGAGACACCACTTTAGCTAATGGGGCCTCCCGCTGCCACCACTGCGCGATTTCTGTTCTCATCCTGAAGCAAAGTTCTTAACCCGAGGTACTATTTCGTGGTTAGCTGAGGCTGTAACCTGAAGCGTCTGTAATTTGAGGTACCACTGTATGTGTACAGTCATACCTCGGGTTGAAATAGCTTCGGGGTTGAGCGTTTTCGGGTTGCGCTCCGTGGTGACCCGGAAGTAACGGAACGGGTTACTTCTGGGTTTCACTGCTTGCGCATGCACAGACGCTCAAAATGACGTCATGTGCATGCGCGGAAGCGGCGAATTGCGCACGAGCAGACACGGGTTGCGTTCTACTCTGGATGCGAACAGGGCTCCAGAACGGATCCCATTTGCATCCAGAGGTACCACTGTATATGTGTGTGTGTGTGTGTGTGTGTGTGTGTGTGTGTACATTTAACTGCCTCTCTTGCCCCCCTGCAAGCCCTTCTTCCAAACTCATATTTTTTTCCCATTGATCTCACGTTCATTTCTTGTTAAATGTCCTCAGCTATCGCTACCCAACCAGCCACTAAAGAGCTGAAATGAATAGTACACAGAATGCACACATTGCTTCCAGACAATCGGTCTACTGAGGTCAGACTTTGCATCCGTCAAGAGGAATCCTACATTTTTCAATGTGCTTTCTCATCGCTTTCCTTATTGCAAAAAACTTCAAACTTTTTGGGGAAGTGGCTTTGTTGCACAAGACTCCCAATCAACTTTAATTATGCAACCAGGATTTGAATTGTGAGCAAAACAGCAACAGTAAGTGCCCCTGCTTACACGGAATGAATATATGCAGATTTACTAGAGCTGCCATACATTCGGAATTTCCTGGACATAGCCGGGATGCAGCCATCGGAAACAGTATCTGGGTGAAAATCTTCGGGGAAACACATGTCCGGGCAAAAAAAGAGCTCAACCACTTTTGTGTCCTGACTTTTGCTTTCTGAAATATGGCAACACATAGAGGTCCAAGAATGCAAATCTGTCATCTTGCAAGGCAGGGATAAGTCATGCCTGTGAATCAAGCATCGAAGTTACAAAATGATGACAAACACAGTTCAAATCAAGCACAAGTTGCTCAATAGCTGAATAAGAGAAGGGTTTTTTTGTGCGTGTTTGTGTGTGGTGATGCTTCTTGCCTGGATAGTTTGATCTATAGCTGGCTCTGCAACTTAACCACTAAAAAACAATGCTATCTAATATATATTATCAAAGCGGTTCGTGCCCAGTCTTGGGAGAGTCCATTCAGCTCTTTCGCCACCCTAACAGAGTGTCTGTATTCCAGGTATTATGGGCTGCTGGTGCTGAACCACTCTTCCCCCTCTGCTTTTATTCTCTTTTGCATTTTCCGGCAATAAGAAAAACAACATGAGCAGGCTATGCAAAACAACTTTTGGACCGGATTCAGATTACAAATCACAGATTTGTTTTGTATTGTATAAGCCAGGGTATACAAGGAGTGCAGAGTGATGTCTGCACTTTTCACAACAACATTGAAAGGTAGGCTTGGCTAAGAGACTACAGGCCGCAGGCTGCGTATATTTGAATTGAGACAAAGTAGCACTCCACCCAACATAGGTTTTCCTCTTCCGCACCTAGTGCCTATTACAAAAAAAGACCTTGTAAGCCCAGTTCAAGTAGTAAAGTGACAACAGAGGAATCAAGCAAACTATTAATATCATCCTTGGCACAGATAATTTCTGGTAGGATTAATGGCTTGTTAAAGGCTGGGATAACGACCCATTTGGTCCCCATTAGCGGAGTTGATCTTCTCATTAATTCCCAGGAAATGCCCCGCAATCAAGGTAGCCAGGGCTTATTTTTTTCCCTTTCTTAATCCGATGGCCAGATAACCACAAATGGCCCTTTTGCTATTTTGACACTGTCCTGTCCTTCGTCGCCTTCCGCTTCTGTAAACCAGCTGCTATAGCTACCGGAAAATGGGCGCCAGAACTGCACAGCAGTTAGGAGCTAATAGCGATTTGGGGTAGGTTGCTCTCTGTGGGGTTTTCAGTGGGTGCGTGTTGGTGGGGTCAGGGGAAGGAGGAGTTAACTACAGGGGTCAGCAACCTTTTTCAGCCATGGGCCAGTCCACCGTCTGTCAGACCATGTGGGGAGCCGGACTATATTTGGGGGGGGGGGGAATGAACAAATTCCTATGCCCCACAAATAACCCAGAGATGCATTTTAAATAAAAGGACACATTCTACTCATGTAAAAACGAGCCAATTCCCGGACCGTCCGTGGGCCAGATTGAGAAGGCGAATGGACCGCATCCGGCCCCCGGGCCTTAGGTTGCCTACCCCTGAGTTAACAGCTCCTTAAAGGTAAAGGGACCATTAGGTCCAGCCGTGACCGACTCTGGGGTTGCGGCGCTCATCTTGCTTTACTGGTCGAGGGAGCCGGCGTACAGCTTCCGGGTCATGTGGCCAGCATGACTAAGCTGCTTCTGGCGAACCAGAGCAGCACACGGAAACGCCATTTACCTTCCCGCCAGAGTGGTACCTATTTATCTACTTGCATTTTGACATGCTTTCGAACTGCTAGGTTGGCAGGAGCAGGGACTGAGCAACAGGAGCTCACCCCGTCGCGGGGTATCGAACTGCCGACCTTCTGATCGGCAAGCCCTAGGCTCTGTGGTTTAGACCACAGCGCTACCCGTGTCCCTTAGTGCTCCTTAGTGCATGAAATATACTCAGAGTCGAGAGTGGATTTCATGCTCTTTATTCAGCTCATAGTGGTGAGGAGGGAATGAAAGTCCCCTCTCAGTATCTGCTTTATATACATTATTTACACAGTGGGCTGCACGTGATTGGCTAATTCCGGAATTCTACTGTAAGCCAATCAGGTTGTGGATTCACTTCTATCTGGAGCTGGATTGGGTGGCTCCTCCTAACCAATCATACTGCTGCATTGTTCTAGGACCAATCAGACTGCTGCATTCTGAATCCTATTGTTCTAGGACCAATCAGACTGCTGCATTTTGGATCCTATTGTTCTAGGACCAATCAGACTGCTGCATTTTGGATCCTATTGTTCTAGGACCAATCAGACTGCTGCAGTTTGGATCCTATTCAACTCAGTACATAACAGTGCAGTTCCAAACCTGACTGGAACTCCAAGTGGCTGATATTTGCAGAAGGAGGAGGAGGAAGAGTAAGAGGAGGAAGCAACTGCAAGTGATGCATTTAATGCTGTATGCAACCTGCCCCTAAATCAGCTGCACAGACAAAAAGCCAGCCATCAAACGGCTCTCAGCAAAGGGAGGCCCAACCACACAAGCTGTCAGAATCCCTTAAACAGGGGTTGCAGAAGGCTGGGACCCGGGGTGGGGCGGGACAGATGTGGCCCTCCAGGCTCCTTTCTCCGGCCCCCAATTCTGCATTAAAAGCACATTGCAGGAGGGCAAGGGGGAGCAAAACTCCCCACTCCCTGCCAGTCCTTTTATTTGTAGGATTGTAGAGTCGGATGGTCCCTCCTCCTGGCATGCGGGAATTAAAAAGGTAAAAAGGTAAAAGGTAAAAAAAGTTAGTTTCGCCCACTGGGGTTCTGAAACCTGATAGAAAAGCAGCTTTGAAAAGGAGTGGATGGGCAGGAACTGGGTCCAGCTCTTTAATAATAATAATAATAATAATAATAATAATAATAATAATTTTTTATTTATATCCTGCCCTCCCCAGCCGAAGCTGGGCTCATAGCGGCTAACAATCCACCTGTGTTGTTGTTGTTTAGTCGTGTCCGACTCTTCGTGACCCCATGGACCAGAGCACGCCAGGCACTCCTGTCTTCCACTGCCTCCCGCAGTTTGGTCAAACTCATGCTGGTAGCTTCGAGAACACTGTCCAACCATCTCGTCCTCTGTTGTCCCCTTCTCCTTGTGCCCTCCATCTTTCCCAACATCAGGGTCTTTTCCAGGGAGTCTTCTCTTCTCATGAGGTGGCCAAAGTATTGCAGCTTCAGGATCTGTCCTTCCAGTGAGCACTCAGGGCTGATTTCTTTAAGAATGGATAGATTTGTTCTTCTTGCAGTCCATGGGACTCTCCTCCAGCACCATAACAATCCACCTGTGCTGTGTTGTAAATGGCCAGCATTTTAGGGATCTGGCAGGGCCCACGTCCCATTGCTCTTCCAATGCTTTTCCCAGCAGAGGGTCATGAGCTGTTTGGTTTGCACGTTTCCTCCTTGGGGAAATCCCCCCTGCAGCAGCTGTCCCAAAGATTACTCACTCGCTGCAGACAGACACTACTGCTAGTACTACGTGTCACGTAAGGTAAAGGCTGCTTCATGGGAAGAGAAGCCGTTTCATTTTTGTGCCCGCGACGCTGCAGGGAAAAGGACCGTGGAGAAAAGCACTGTTTTTACGGGGAGTTCCACAAGGTCAGAGTCACCATCACAAGGGAAAAGCAGCCCAGTGAAAACTACGTCTTGGTATGGGATCAGGTGCTCTCTTCCCAATGCTGCCCTGTTCTGTCTTGTGTCACGCAGCTCTCCGTCCCATATATGCCCACACAGAAGCATAGAATTGCAGAGTTGGAAGGGACCCCGAGGGTCATCTAGTCCAACCCCCTGCAATGCAGGAATCTTTTGCCCAACGTGGGGCTCGAACCCACAGCCCTGAGATTCAGAGTCTCGTGCTCTACCGGTTGAGCTATCCCGGACCTGCAGCTTTGATCCGCAGAACTGGCCCTCTTACAATGCCAGGTAATATTCATTCCGCCCTTGCAAAGAATCCATCCTGCAGTGTCTACACTTTGGAACTCCCCGCCCATTGAAAATCGGCCTGCACATTTGATGAACTCGTTTTCAGTGCATGCCAAAAACCTTTCTGTTTAAGCAAGCCTAACCAGATAGCTAATATTTGACATGTGTTTTAATATATAATTTTATTTTAGATCGTACCATTTTAAAAGTGTCGGCTTCGTTGTGAAAAGAAAAATGCTAACTTTTATTTAACATCTAATTTTAATGTACATTTTATGTACATTTTAGCCACTATGAGGTTTTGAGAAATAAGCGGTATATAAACCCTGCCAGATGAAATGAATTGGGAGCCCAGTTGTAACTGGTACAAAGCCCGCAAACCTATCTTTCCAGGTGCCAGCAGCAGGGCTGTAGTAGCTTAACAGTGGGTTGTTTGTTTGTTTTCCATCCAGACAAAGTCCCATTTTCAATCCAATAAGAGGGTGGCAATCTGACCTAGGATGGGTCACGCTGGAGTCACCGCCACTTTCTCTTCTTGTCCCCACCCCACCCCCCAAAAAAAATGAGAGGAGGAGAAAAGCAAAGAATGTGAAAATGGAAAAAGAAATTTAAAAATAATACTTAAAAGGCGAAAGATTTATACGATCTGAGGTGAAACCAGAGTAAAATGTAAAAAGGTGAAAAGCTTCTGGGAGATGATATATAATGAGATGAAAAAAATGTTGAAATATACATTTATAAAGAAACCAGAAGCATTTTTACTAGGCATCGTTGGGAGTGATTTAAATAGAAATGAATGTAAGCTCTTTTTATATGCAATAACAGCAGCAAGAATATTATTGGCCCAAAAGTGGAAGCAAGAAGAATTACTGACGATTGAAGAATAGAGGATGAAGTTAATGGACTATGCAGAACTAGATAAACTAACAGGAAGGATTTGAAACCGGCGGGACCAGAAATTCACGGAAGACTGGAGTAAATTTACGGACTATTTGAAAAGTATTTGTGAAGATCAGACGACGTTTGTAGGTTTGCAAGAAGTTTTGTGAGGAGTATTATCGGAAGTATTGCAAAAATGGAGAAGGGGAAGGATGATTTGTTAAGAGATGTAAAGGCAATATAAAGTTAAGAAATGCATAAGTTAAAACGGTGGATCATCAGAGGTGCTGATGGAAGTCTAAAAAGATTGTATAAGTGATAAGTTTTGTGGTACATTTTATAATTTATATGTTAAAATCAATAAAAATTATATATATATATAAAATAAAACTTTAAAAAGTCGTCTTATGAATCTTGCATTAAAGTTGGGCTGGGCCAGAAAATATTGAAGAGTCCTGATCTATAAAACCTGCCTTTCTCTTGACCGGGGAGATCAGGGTTCAGTTCCCCCATTCGCTGGGTGATCTTGGGACAGTCACTGTCTCTGAGTCTAGCCTACCTCACAAGGCTGTTGTTGAGAATAAAACGGAGGGCAGGAGAACTATGTATGTCACCTTTGAACTCCTTGCAGGAAAGGTGGGATATAAATGTTTAAATTTATAAATTTAGTCTTCCCGGTCTAAATTTAGCCTGCCCTTAGAGGAGCGCTTGTCCCTTTGCCGAACTCTCAAACTGTTTGCAGCTCAACGTTGCCTCTTCTTCTTTGGAAAAGAATAACACTTGTGTGGAAAACTCCCTGGAGATTTCGCTGGCTAGGCAGAAAGCTTTGGATATCAATGAATGGGGGGGAGGGATTTGAGCTTAGCCGGAAGTTTTCTTTGGGAAGGAATTGAGATATCCTTGTTTGGGATATGAGCACAACAACTTACGCTCCCAACTCACATTCGGAGTCTATTGCCTCCAACAGGCGAGCTAGAATAAACACCGTCATGGGTGGCAATTAATCCCAAACAGCCTGATAGCAGTCACGAAATTAAAAGACGCCTGCTTCTTGGGAGAAAAGCGATGACAAACCTAGACAGCATCTTAAAAAGCAGAGACATCACCTTGCCAACAAAGGTCCGTATAGTTAAAGCTATGGTTTTCCCAGTAGTGATGTATGGAAGTGAGAGCTGGACCATAAAGAAGGCTGATCGCCAAAGAATTGGTGCTTTTGAATTCTGGTGCTGGAGGAGACTCTTGAGAGTCCCATGGACTGCAAGAAGATCAAACCTCTCCATTCTGAAGGAAATCAGCCCTGAGTGCTCACTGGAAGGACAGATCCTGAAGCTGAGGCTCCAAGACTTTGGCCACCTCAGGAGAAGAGAAGACTCCTTGGAAAAGACCCTGATGTTGGGAAAGATGGAGGGCACAAGGAGAAGGGGACGACAGAGGACGAGATGGTGGGACAGTGTTCTCAAAGCTACCAGCATGAGTTTGACCAAACTGCGGGAGGCAGTGGAAGACAGGAGTGCCTGGCGTGCTCTGGTCCATGGGGTCACGAAGAGTCGGACACGACTAAACGACTAAACAACAAGAACAACAAAGCCTGATCTTCTGCACATTTATCGGTCCCTTCTTTCAAAGCCATCCAAGTTGCCTCCATCACTGCATCTCAGGAAGCAGTAACAGAAAGGTATTAAGGGCACCTCTCAAGGATGGCAAAGTGCTTTTGCAGAGTAAGGGGCGATTAGATAGCTTCCAGGGGCCTTTTCCCAGCAGCACAATTATTTGGGGAGGAAAAGAGGAGAAAAGCCCATTTGCAGAAGCAGCAACAAAGGACTCACTGTGTCAATCGTTTGGCAGCAGAATTTGGGAAAGCAACACACGACCATCTCCATAGCAAAGGTTGCTGGGCCGACAGATTTAGGAAAGTAGCTTTCAGAATCTGAAAACAGACTGCCAATTGGATCTCAACCATTGCACGGGGGGGAAATCTTTTTTATTATTATTGTGCATGTGTTTTTAAGCTAGTAGCATGAAAACAGGGTGGGTTTCAAGGGATTTTTATTGCTCCCTGACCCTGCTGCATAAATGCTGCTTTTTAAGGAGAAAAGGGCGGATATTTCACTAAGGTGGCCCAGGCTGTTGCTGGAGAAAGCCAAGGAGTTTTTTTTTTGGGGGGGTGTCACCTGTTTGAAGAAATCTCAGTTGAATTGATTGCGTTTCTGCTCAACTAAATTTGCACATGAATGAAAACAGTGCAGTGAATCCAGGGAAGGCTGTTTGCAAAATGGGAATTTCCCACTCCTTACTGCACCCTCTGAGCAAATCTTCCCTCCGCTCCCCTGAGGGTATTTATTCTCAGCAGTGTCTTAAAGCAAAAGCTATTATTTTTGCAGCACCTTAAAGGCTAACAAATTGCATCAGCTTCCCTCTGAGCACCTCATCAGAGGCACTAGGCGAAATCTTAGCAGAAATCAAGGAGGAAAATGGGAAGGTCGGAGATGAAGGACAATGAGATGCAATAAAACTACAGTCAGGGATGATGAGAGTGTAAAAGCATGTTGAACAGACACACATTTTAACCTTTCGTAGTAGCATATTGGTGATAATGCAGTTATCTCAGCAACAGCTGAGTAAATTAACACCTGTGAAGTGACAATTGACCATCTGCAAGACACAGACATGGAGGGATAAGATTAACAGCCTGGCCCTGATAAGATCATCAACACCTGGCATTCTTTAAGCCTGCTGCCTGACATATGTGGGAACCTTTTTAACGCAGGGCCCTAAACTACTAAGGAAGTAAACATTCCTGCTTTAATGAAAAAAGTCCTGAGTTTTCAGCAAGGGAGACCTGGGCCAGTCATGCATCACAGGGTTACCTTGCCTCAGGTGAGGTTTCTCCCTCTGTTTAAGCCCACATCACAGTCTCAGCCCCCTTGCGGGGTCAAATAAGGCAAGAAGCAATAAAGAAGAATAACAGGAGCATTGCTGGGTCAGGCCAAAGGCCCATCTTGTTCATCATCCCGTGGGTGGAATGAAATATTTCACATAACACCGGTCCTGAAATAACTTCATTGGCTCCCAGTACGTTTCCGAGCACAATTCAAGGTGTTGGTGCTGACCTTTAAAAAGCCCTGGACTCGGCCCAGTATACCTGAAGGAGCATCTCCAACCCCATCGTTCAGCCCGGACATGGAGGTCCAGCTCCAAGGGCCTTCTGACAATTCCCTCACTGCGAGAAGTGAGGTTACAGGGAACCAGGCAGAGGGCCTTCTCGGTGGTAGCGCCCACCCTGTGGAACACCCTCCTATCAGATGTGAAGGAAATAAACAACTATCTGACTTTCAGAAGACATCTGAAGGCAGCCCTTTTTAGGGAAGCTTTTAACGTTTGATATTCTATCGTGTTTTTAATATTCTGTTGGGAGCCGCCTAGAATGACTGGGAAAACCCAGCCAGATGGGCGGGGTAATAATAATGATGATGATGATGATGATGATGATGATGATGGTTTGCATTCCTACTTGCTCCTGGACATTTGGCTCGGATATGATCCAAACAGGTATTTAAAAGCCACACACATCCCTCACATTCAAAGGGATCCAGTTCTCATTTCTCAGAAAGGCTAAAGGTAAACAAGTTCGGCTTTCGCTTATGGTAAGCCCAGGAGCACAGACTGTTTCGCTACTGTACAAGTCGGAAATCTGAGCCTACGGGGTCAGTGGATTAAGAAGATCTGGGTAGCATTTGAATGATGTCACTGGGACATGTGTTAGTTTAATGGCTCATGCTGAATTTGTACCTAACGCCAGAGCTTACTTGTCATCGGCACGTCTCTGGCTGCTTGTAACGGCATCTCGCTTTCTTAGGAACTGAATCAGACGGTGTTTTCTGACTGTATCCTAAATGACTGGCCTGCAGAAAACATTTGCCTGGCGGGGAGCAGGAGAAATAGCGGTGGAAATAACAGCAGCCGAAAAAGCCAGTGACAGGTGGAGCAAGTCATTCTAGTTTTGCCCGTATCCTTTTCCTGCTGAGTTCTGCAAAGAGCAGTGCTGAGAACACAGGCCAACCTCAGCCGGCCCTGATCCACAGCCCACCCGCCTGCCTTCTTGCAGGGGGTGGCTCTGCGTCGGCTCACCTCCACCTCCATCTACTATTCATCTCCATACATTCCATCCTCAAAAGGCACCACTTCCTGATGCAGAATTTCCCCCCTGTTAAACAGCTCCTACCACTCAGAGATTTCTCCTAATGTTTAGCTAGCCATTTGCTTTCCTGAAATTTCCACACAATTTTTCCTGGCAACATGGGACCTGGACAGGCTGGACCAGATAAAACTCCAACAGCTGCATTCTGCACGAGCAGAAACTTCCCAAAGTGTTTCCAAGGGCAGCCCAACGTACAGCCTATTTTTGCTGTGGTTGAGTCGTTTAGTCGTGTCCGACTCTTCGTGACCCCATGGACCAGAGCACGCCAGGCACTCCTGTCTTCCACTGCCTCCCGTAGTTTGGTCAAACTCATGCTGGTAGCTTCGAGAACACTGTCCAACCATCTCGTCCTCTGTCGTCCCCTTCTCCTTGTGCCCTCCATCTTTCCCAACATTAGTGTCTTTTCCAGGGAGTCTTCTCTTCTCATGAGGTGGCCAAAGTATTGGAGTCTCAGCTTCAGGATCTGTCCTTCCAGTGAGCACTCAGGGCTGATTTCCTTCAGAATGGATTGGTTTGATCTTCTTGTAGTCCATGGGACTCTTAAGCGTCTCCTCCAGCACCAGAATTCAAAAGCATCAATTCTTTGGCGATCAGCCTTCTTTATGGTCCAGCTCTCACTTCCATACATCACTACTGGGAAAACCATGGCTTTAACTATACGGACCTTTAGCAGTCATCAAACTCAAAGATTTCCAAAGAGCAGGTAGCCATGGACAAGCCATTGCCATTCAGAAGCGGTGGCTGCATCTGGTAAAAACAGCCCACAAAGGTTTCTTTGGGTGGGGGGAGAATAATATAAATTACTCCGTTTCTGGGGCGCTGCAAATCTCTACAAAACTACCGTATTGCCAAACTTTGGCACCAGTCTGAAGCGATTCAGACATTGTTGTGGTTTTTTTGGATGTTAACTATGAACCCTGGTTTGATGTAGCAGTTACTCAGTTTGGGGTACGCTGGGTTTTTGCTGCAAAACAACTGCAAAACTTTGGAACGTGCTTGGAAGGGACCCCAAATTTCAGGGCTCGTAGCTAATGAAGCTGAGGGGAAAAACGCTAGCCTGAAAAAGAGGCTCACTGCCTGCATTTCTATGGTAGCCGGCCAGCATGGAAATATATTTCTTATGCTACATTTACACAAAATGATTTTCTACCAGGGAGTACGGCAGAGAAGGGGTGTGTCGCTGCTGTCCCACTTCTGACAGCATGCTGTGTTTCTAGCCAGATGGGTGGAGTATAAATAATAATTGTTTGTTTGTTTGTTTACAGGTGGGTCGTGGAGGAATAGATTTCCCCTGCTCTGTGGCTAGTGCAGAAACCATGCCAGTTGGCAGAGGAGGAGTGGCGATACCTGTCCGTCCCACACCTGCCCACTCACTCGCTCACCTGCATGGAATTCCTGGTACCTGTTGCATTCAAACCCATTGTTAAATATAAGGTGGCCAATATGCAAACTCTACATGGGGCTGCCCTTGAGACTGACCCAGAAACTCCAGCGGGTGCAGAACGCCGCGGCGAGACTCCTTACGGGGTCCTTGCCGCGGGATCACATTCACCCAGTGCTATAGCAGCTGCACTGGCTCCCGGTGGAGTACAGGATCAGGTTTAAGGTGCTGGTTTTGACCTTTAAAGCCCTATACGGCCTAGGACCCTCGTACCTACGGGACCGCCTCTCCTGGCATGTCCCACAGAGGACCTTACAGTCTTCAAACAAAAACATCTTGGAGGTCCCGGGCCACAGGGAGGTTAGGCTGGCCTCAACCAGAGCCAGGGCTTTTTCGGCTATGGCCCCGATCTGGTGGAACGCTCTGTCACAAGAGACTAGGGCCCTGCGGGACTTGACATCTTTCCGCAGGGCCTGCAAGACAGAGCTGTTCCACCAGGCCTTTGGCCAAGGCGCAGTCTGACCCCCACTTTCTGTAATCCTCATAGCACTCTAGCCCAATGGTTGCCATTAATTTGATTCTGAATTGATTTTAGAATGAATTGATTTTAGAATGTATTTCAATTAATTGATTGTGATTTTATGTAAACTGTTATTTTTACTGTAGTTAGCCACTCTGAGCCCAGCTTCGGCTGGGGAGGGCAGGATATAAATAATTTTTTATTATTATTATTTTTAAACGTCCTCTTTTAGGAGAAATGATGAGCTCTTTGGGAACTGACTGAATACCAGTTTCCCAAACATGGGAACCGTCTACCCGCGGCAAAGATTTTTGGATGCATCGAGCCATCTCCTGACTGCGCACCTAAGAAGGAGAGGTTGAGGTTGCACTGGTCAGCTGGCAAAGATTTTGTCCTACAAAGGCCTAAGAAAGGCAGGCAGTGCCAGTGAGAAAGTCATTCAGAGAAGAATGACGCAAATGCCTGGGTCCTGGATCGCAGCAGCCCAAGCACAGTTGACTTCCAAACTTCCTTTCAAATTTGCACAAAACGAACGTTGTTCTCCCCTTTCAGCCACAAGAAGAAGGGGAAAAAAGAGATGGGAGGAGCCTGGGGTTTCTTTTTCAAAAGGGTCCAGGAAGTGGAGTCGCCAAACATTCGGTGGTCCTGAATACCCCTGTGCCACAAAGAAGAAAAGAGTCGCCATGTTGTTGGGAAAATGGCCATTTGACGGAAGCATTTACGAAAGACAGTGAGGGCTCTAAGAGACAAAGAGGCCAAGGAGCAAAGTCTGAACTGGAAAGGGCCATAGCTCACTGGCAGAGTGCCTGCCTTGATAGCTCAAGGTCCCAGGTTTGATTCCCAGCATCTCCAGTAGGTTGGGAGACGCTTTTTGTCTTAAATCCTGGAGTGCCACTGCCACTCAGTGTAGACAATGCTTAGCTTGGAGAGGAGGAGGAGATGTTGCTGTTGTTGTTTAGTCTTTTAGTCGTGTCCGACTCTTCGTGACCCCATGGACCAGAGCACGCCAGGCACTCCTGTCTTCCACTGCCTCCCGCAGTTTGCTCAAACTCATGCTGGTAATAATAATAATAATAATAATAATAATAATTTATTATTTGTACCCCACCCATCTGGCTGGGTTTCCCCAGTCACTCTGGGCGGCTTCCACAAAGACAAAAAATACACTAAGATGTCACACATTAAAAACTTCCCTGAACAGGGCTGCCTTAAGATGTCTTCTGAATGTCAGGTAGTTGATTATCTCTTTGACATCTGAAGGGAGGGCATTCCACAGGGCAGGCGCCACCACCAAGAAGGCCCTCTGCCTGGTTCCCTGTAACCTCACTTCTCGCAGTGAGGGAACCGCCAGAAGGCCCTCGGCGCTGGACCTCAATGTCCAGGCTAAACGATGGAGGTGGAGACGCTCCTTCAAGACAAGCCTTTTTTTTAAGGGACAGGTGGCAACCATACACCTCCCTTATCCATCCTCCCCCCTGGCAAACAAGAGGGATTATCCTCTTTCAAAGACACAATCCAACCAGCATTTCAAGGAAAAGATGCCGCAGGACAGAGACCGGCCGGGCCTAGAAAGAATCCCAAGGGCCAGATATAAAGTCTTGGAGGGCTGTACAGTGGTACCTCTAGTTGCGAACGGGATCCGTTCCGGAGGCCCATTCGCAACATGAAAAGAACGCAACCCACAGCAGCGCATCTACGCACGGCGAGTTGCGATTTGCCGGTTCTGTGCATGACATCATTTTGCGCATCTGTGCATGCACGAGCAACGAAACCCGGAAGTAACCCTTTCGGGTACTTCTGGGTCGCCGCGGGACGTAACCTGAAAGACCTTGGGAGTCTTTCGTAGTCCACCTATAACTACCGTATTTTTTGCTCTATAAGACTCACTTTTTCCCTCCTAAAAAGTAAGGGGAAATGTGTGTGCATCCTATGGAGCGAATGCAGGCTGCACTGCTTTCCCAGAAACCAGAACAGCAAGAGGGATTGCTGCTTTCACTGCGCACTGATCCCTCTTGCTGTTCTGGCTTCTGAGATCCAGAATATTTTTTTTCTTGTTTTCCTCCTCCAAAAACTAGGTGCGTCTTGTGGTCTGGTGCGTCTTATAGAGCGAAAAATATGTGCATTTCAAAGGGACAGCCACTGCCCTCTCCCTGCGGTCACTGCAAAGAGAAGACAAAAAGCAGGAAACTTTTGTAAACCTTCAACAAAGAATGTGCAATGCGGTGTTGAACCGAATGTGACTCAGCCGGGCGGTTATGTCAAGTTCACGAAAACCAAACTGGAAAGAGCCTTTGAGAAGATCCCAATGAAACAGAAAGCCATCCCACCAGGGTGGGAGGCAGAAGACGACCCGAGGGCTTCCACATTCTTGGCAAAACTGCATTAGGGAACGGTCTTTCCCCTCCTCCCCCTGAATTAACACGCCAAACTTCCCACCTGACCATCAGGTCTTCATTGCACTGAAATAAAGTGTATTTCCTCAGAGTCCCATTGGAGAAACAAGCTGTAGCTCAGCAGCAGAGAATGTGTTTTGCATGCAGAAGGACGCTGGGTCAATTCCCAGCCTAGAATCATAGCACTGTAGAGTTGGAAGGGACACCCGAGGGTCATCTAGTCCAACCCCCTGCGAGGCAGGACTCTTAACAAGTGGTCCCCCATCCAGTTTGAAACCATATCGGACCCTGCTTAGCTTTGCAAATGTGGCTCCGAAAGACTCCCTCTCCGAAACTGCTGCCTGCCAATATACACAGTAAGGAACACAGTGGTACCACTGGCTGTAAACAGGATCATCTCCGGAGGCCTGTTCGCAATGTGAAAAGCGCGCAACTTGAAGCGCCATATCTGTGCAGGTGCGCAGCGCAATTTAGCACTTGTGCACATGCATGAAGCACAATTTAGCGCTACTGCACGTGCGCAAGTGGCGAAACCCGGAAGTAACCCTTTCCGGTACAGTGGTACCTTGGGTTACATACGCTTCAGGTTACATACGCTTCAGGTTACAGACTCCGCTAACCCAGAAATAGTACCTCGGGTTAAGAACTTTGCTTCAGGATGAGAACAGAAATTGTGCTCCGGCGGCACGGCGGCAGCAGGAAGCCCCATTAGCTAAAGTGGTGCTTCAGATTAAGAACAGTTTCAGGTTAAGAACGTACCTCCGGAACGAATTAAGTACTTAACCCGAGGTACCACTGTACTTCCGGGTCACCGCGGGACACAACCTGAAAAAACGTAACATGAAGCAAACGTAACATGAGGTATGACTGCAGCGGTCTGACTTTGCATAAGACAGCTTCCTTATTGACCTTATTCCAGGGGTGCCTCCACAAACAGCCCTTCTTCCCATAACTGTCACACTTTGATCGCTCATATTTTTTTGCAGAGCAGGCAAACGGTGCCGTTTTCCAAGTAGCTCAGCCAGTGGTGTTGTTGTTTGCATTCCCCTCCCATGCTTTTTTTGCAGGCCTGATTGGTGGACAAACATTTGGAAGGAAATGGCAGCTGCAGCCACAGCCTGTCCAGTAAGGGCAGATAAAGCCCCATTGAGGCTTTGGGGGGGGACGGACCCTGTGCCTTTAAATCAGGTGACGGGAAACCTGTGGCCCTGTAGATGGTGGTAGACTCCAAATCCCATTGGTCTGAGTTGGCATGGTCCGGGGTTAGTGATGATGGGAGTTGTAGTCCACCAATACAGCATTTTCACTCCAATTGGAAGTATTCAGTTAAAAGAATTGTTGTGAAAATAAGAAATGTCTAGGCTGATGGAAGGTGGGGGTCCAATATATTATATATTATATTATATATTATTATTATTATTACGCTGCCCATCTAACTGAGTCGCATCGGGGAGGGGGGCAACAGGTCTTTTTTAACCATAATCCTTGCTCACACGTCCAGTGTTCGAAACCCCAAAAGCTGTACCATGACAGAACTTAAGCCACATGTTTTTTGAACCTGTTTCATCTTTTGAACGCACCTGGCCTCAGGTTTTAATCAACCTAAGCCTCATATCAGGGGTGGCAAACCTGTGCCTTCCCCACGAGGCTACGCAACTCCCATCAGCCCCAGCCAGCGTGGCCAACAATCAGGGATCAATATCATCATTATTGCTATTATTTATGGCATTTATGGGACACAGGTGGCGCTGTGGGTTAAACCACAGAGCCTCTTGGGCTTGCCGATCAGAAGGTCGGCGGTTCGAATCCCCACGACAGGGTGAGCTCCCATTGTTCGCTCCCTGATCCTGCCCACCTCACAGTTCGAAAGCACATCAAAGTGCAAGTAGATAAATAGGTACCACTCCAACGGGAAGCTAAACGGCGTTTCCATGCGCTGCTCTGGTTTGCCAGAAGCGGCTTAGTCATGCTGGCCACATGACCCAGAAGCTGTACGCCGGCTCCCTCGGCCAATAAAGCGAGATGAGCGCTGCAACCCCAGAGTCGGCCACGACTGGACCTAATGGTCAGGGGTCTCTTTACCTTTACCTATGGCATTTATATAACACTGCCTTTTTCTCCAAGTTGGCATACATGGCTCTCCGCTCCCCCATCTCATTTAATCCCCACCACGACCCTGTGAGGTAGGTTCATGGCTGGGCAGGGATTCGAACCCTGGTCTCCAGGGTCCTCCTAGTACGACTCTCTAACTGCCACGCCACGCCAGCTCTGGATAATTGGAGCTGGAGTCCGGTAACATCTGGAGGGCCCCAGGTGCTCCATGCATGTTTGAAATCAAGGACCTCTAGGTGCTGGCGGACTCCCACTCCCATCTGCGCTAAGGGATGAGGGAGTCGGAGTCCCAGGCCACCCAGCCGCAGGTTCCTCGCCTCTGTCTGAAAGCAAGCGGCTACATTCGGCCCTCAGCAGCTCGGATTTTTATCAGGAACTCACCCCGGCTTCCCTTACGGACCCATGGACTGCCTCGCCGTCGGTTAAATCACCCCCAACAGCCTCCTTCTCTTTGGGTCTGACTCATCCGGTGAAGTCACAAGGCTTCCGCGTTACCGTGGCAACTACCCAAGCCATCCTTGCAAAAGACAGTTGACGGGGGTGATGCCACAGAATGACTCAGCCGTGGTTTTGCGGCAAACTACACTCAAGCTTCAGACGCGGGTGGCGCTGTGGGTTAAACCACAGAGCCTAGGACTTGCTGATCAGAAGGTCGGTGGTTCGAATCCCCACGACGGGGTGAGCTCCCGTTGCTCGGTCCCTGCTCCTGCCAACCTAGCAGTTTGAAAGCACATCAAAGTGCGAGTAGATAAATAGGTACCAGTCCGGCAGGAAGGTAAACGGCGTTTCCGTGCACTGCTCTGGTTCGCCAGAAGCGGCTTAGTCATGCTGGCCACATGACCCAGAAGCTGTGCTCCCTTGGCCAGTAAAATGAGATGAGCGCCACAACCCGAGTCGGTCACGACTGGACCCAATGGTCAGGGGTCCCCTTTATCTTACACTCAAGCGTGGTATTAGTCAGAGCACAACTGTCCGCATTGAAAGGCAATCGCGTACCTGCAAATTTACGGCCACGTGCACACAAGCAGAGAATTATTTGTGGCCCTGTAGATACCGTATTTTTTGCTCTATAAGACTCACTTTTTCCCTTCTAAAAAGTAAGGGGAAATGTGTGTGCGTCTTATGGAGCGAATGCAGGCTGCGCAGCTATCCCAGAAGCCAGAACAGCACGAGGGCTTGCTGCTTTCACTGCGCAGCGATCCCTCTTGCTGTTCTGGCTTCTGAGATTCAGAATATTTTTTTTTCTTGTTTTCCTCCTCCCAAAACTAGGTGCGTCTTGTGGTCTGGTGCGTCTTATAGAGCGAAAAATACGGTAAGTCTTTTCAAAAGGGGCTCAACAGGGCATACTCCTAAATAAGGCCACCATATAGCTGGGATAGCTCCGTCGGTGGAGCATGAGACTCTTAATCTCAAGGACGCAGGTTTGAGTCCCAAGTCAGGCAAATAAATAAATAAATCCCTGTATTGCAGGGAATTTGGGCTACGGATGACCCTCGCAGCGCCTTCTGCCTCTATATTCCTATGATTTAAAGCACTCTTTAAATCAGCTTTAAACTGTCATGGCTTCCCCCAAAGAATTCTGGGAGTTGTAGTTTGTTAAGGTGCTGAGAGCTATAAGGAGGACCCTATTCCCCCCTATACCAGAGCTACAATTCCCAGAGTTCTCTGTGAAGAAATTTATTGTTAAACCACTCTGGGAACTGTAGTGCCATGAGGGGACAATTTTCAGCACCCTTGACAAACTACAGTTCCCAGAATTCTTTGAGGCGTAAGCCCAAACTGCTTAAAGTGGTATCACGGTGCTTTAAATATACAGTGCGAATGTGGCCTAACATGGGATAGGACTGCAAGGCTTAATGTGTTTTCTTGCTGCGTAGAAGGTTTCCTCATTGCTGTCCTGGCGGCTTATATAATTGTTGGCTGCTCAGCTTGACCAAGAAACCGATACCTCGCTATTACACACACACAGTGTCCTGCTTGCCCAGGAAGCTGTAAAACCTCTCTGATTCCTTCTGGAGTAAGCAAGTCGCAGACTCTGGATTAAAATACAGCACAATCTGTGCCCAGTGTCCAGTTTTCAAACCAGACTCGCAACATCACTGAATCCTGTCCCCTCTAAATGCCAAAGATCACCAATCCTCGTCGGGCGGGTTTCAGCGTTAAAGCACATCTCTCTCACAAATACCAGGGCAAGGCCAGACGTACCGGTTGCAATTTCACAAGAGCATTTTTGCTAGCCCAAAAATGGAAAGCGAGCGAGGTTCCAGCCAAAGAAGAACGGCAACGTAAACTGATGGAATATGCGCAGCTTGCAGATTTAACATACAGGATAAGAGAACAAGAAGAACACACATTTAAAGGAGACTGGAAAATGTTTACTGAATATATTGGGGAAATTGTGTAGATTTGAAAACGTGGGCGGCATTTAGATCAATTCAACAGTGTAAACAAGTTTTGATGGATGTAACAATGGAATACTGAATGGTTTAGTTCATGTAAAATATGCAGGGATGTATGGTATGCAAAATGAACCGCGGAAAGAGAAGAAGGGAGCGGCAAAGGATCCTAATTGCTAAAAACTGGGAAAAAGAAACTGTGCCAACAAAAAAGGAATGGCAAGATAAACAGGCTAGATTAACAGAGGCATTCAGAGATCACACTGGACAAGAGTTTCAAAAAGCATGTGGAAAATGCAGAGAATACTTCACAAAACAGTGCCCTAAAATACATACCTGGACTTGTTTCGATTAATGTTTGCAGGAGACTTTGTGGATATTTAAGTTATAATTAGAAAAATCTTAATAATTATTCATAAAGGAGTTTATAAGAAGTAAATAAGGAGGCCAGATACAGGGTAAAGGAAGTCTTTTATTTGGTTGTTTGTACTGATGTATGTTATGCTCATTGTATGTTAAGTTCATGTTTAATGAGGGTGGATTTGTGTATTGGGGGGTTGGGGGGTTGTATTATGTTGTAAATAAAATTCCAATAAAAATATATTTTAAAAAAGGAAAGAGAAGAAGGAAAGTCATTGGTTTCAGGTTGCCTAAATGGATATTTGAAATGTAAATTAGAAAAATTTAATTAAAATTTTAATAAAAAAATTATGGTGGGGTATAAATAATAAATTATTATTATTATTATTATTATTATTATTATTATTGGAACTCGTGGGTGTTGAATGGTTACTTTAAATGTAAAGGTTCATCATTGTTCCACCTGATGTGTATGTCTTTAAGGGGCCAGAGCAAGATAACGAGACCCAGATTTACAGCTGTGAAACATAGCAGGTGCTGCTGAGTTGTATTGATTAAGCTGTATCAGTAATTGGGTGTAGTATATAAGGAGCAGCACCTAGCTCTCCCATTACCCTGGGGGATGGGTTGGTGGTTGGGTCATGTTTGTTTGTTGATGTATTTAGTGTATAAGGAGTTTTTGTTTTTGTAATTAAAACCTCATTTAAGTTATTTTTGAGTCCCTTTTTAATGCATGGTCTCCCCAGCAAGCTCTCTGCGCTACTAAACTGCAAAAAGCCAACAGTGGGCATCCAATGAAGTTGAATGCAGGAAGATTGGAGACAGAGCCAAGAAAGTCCTTCACGCAGCGCATAGTTAAACTATGGAACTTAGTGATGGGCACAATGACGGCACTCAAAGAGGATGAGCCATATTCATGCAGAAGAAGACTATCAATGGCTGCCCGCCATGATGGCTATGCTCTCCTTCCCCAGTTGGAGACAGTAGTGCTCCTGAATATCGGTTGCTGGAAACCCCAGGAGGGGAGAGTTGCTCTTGCGCTCGAATCCTGCTTGCAGATTTCCCATTGAGGCATCTGGTTGGCCGCTGTGAGAACAGGATGCTAGACTAGATCATACCCTCCAACATTTCCCCAATGAAAATAGAGACATCCTGTTCCTTACTACTACTACCCCACCCATCTGACTGGGCTGCCCCAGCTACTCTGGGTGGCTTCCATCATATATGAAAACATTAAACAACTTCCTTATACGGAGCTGCCTTCAGGTTTCTTCTAAAGGTTGTACAGTGGTACCTCAGGTTAAGAAAGTAATTCGTTCTGGAGGTCCGTTCTTAACCTGAAACTGTTCTTAAACTGAGGTACCACTTTAGCTAATGGGGCCTCCCGCTGCCACTGTGCAATTTCTGTTCTCATCCTGAAGCAAAGTTCTTAACCCGAGGTACTATTTCTGGGTTAGTGGAGTCTATAACTTGAAGCATCTGTAACCCAAGGTACCACTGTATAGTTACTTACAGTCATACCTCTTGTTACGTTTGCTTCATGTTACGTTTTTTCAGGTTGCGTCCCACGGCGACCTGGGAGTACCGGAAAGGGTTACTTCCAGGTTTCGCCGCTTGCACATGGACAGAAGCGCTAAAACACGCTTCGTGCATGCGCACAAGCGCCAAATCACATCGCACACCTGCGCAGATACGGCGCTTCAGGTTGCAGGCTTCTCATGTTGCGAAGGGCCTCCGGTACGGATCCTGTTCGCAGCCAGAGATACCACTTTATATCCTTGTCTCAGGGTTTGCATAACTCCATACCCTCCAACATTTCTCCAATGAAAATGGGACGTCCTAAGGAAAAATGGGACATTCTAGGATCAAATCAGAAACCGGGACGGCTTCTGTAAATCCAGGACTGTCCCTGGAAAATAAGGCCCCTGGCCTGATCCAGAAGAACAGTGTTCCTCCTTTCTTATGCATCTGTTAACCGCAAGCATGTTGCAAGGCCTGCAAAATCAAAACAAAACAGCTAGTTCTGAACCCGTTTTTCTAGGAAACCACCCTGAGCATATTTATGAAAAATATTTGCTGCACGCCAACCCTTTCCACCCCAACAAAAAACCTCCAACCAGTAAAAGGTACTCAAAAGGTACTTCCCTGGATGTTCTGCAATGTTGTGTAATTGTCTGAGCTTGAAGCGGGGGCGGGGGATGCTTGAAAAATATGTTTGCTCTCGGCTCTCTGTGAAACACAGAGCAGAAAAACACCGGGGAGTGGACTCGGGGGCTGCTTGTTTATCGGGCTTGCCTGTTCCTCAGGCTTCTTGGAAACGGCTGCTGCATGGAGATAGCATGTGAACAGGGCTGCAGGCAACAATGCGCACGCATGCCTCTTTCACATGCCCAAGCCTTGCTGCGGGAGCTCGGTTACAGAAAGTTCAGGCGGTGCAGAGAGAGGAAGACGTAGACTTCCTGCTCCTGGACACGTGGAAGGAGCGTGCACAACCACCCGGGCTGCTGAGATAGCAGTCGTGCCAGCTGCGCTCTCCAATAAGCTCAGCTGTTTATACCTCCCTAGCAAAAGGGACTGTACTCTCTCTCCTCCTCCAGCGAAGGCAGCAGGGAGAATGTTCCCAGGGATAGGATGCCAGCCTCCTCGTGCCACGGCCCTGCCAAATGCAAAAATAGATATACACATACAGAAACACACACACGCATATAAAAACATACGGTACCTCCTCCTGTCTCAAGGTATTTGCAGTTTCATAAACACATTTCTGGCAAGGGAACTGTTGTTGAAGCCAAAGGTTTCTTAGAAGCAGAACACCCTGCTCCAAATCCCAGGAATAAGAATTTGCTTTGTTGCATCGATATCCCAGACCCTCCCAAGTGTCCCTATTTTCCAGGGACAGTCCCGGATTTACAGCCATCCCGGTTTCTGATTTGATCTCTGAATGTCCCACTTTTCCATAAAAGATAAAGGGACCCCTGACCGTTAAGTCCAGCCGTGGACGACTCTGGGGTTGCAGCACTCATCTTGCTTTATTGGCCGAGGGAGCCGACATACAGCTTCCAGGTCATGTGGCCAGCATGGCAAAGCTGCTTCTGGCAAACCAGAGCAGCGCACGGAAACGCCGTTTACCTTCCCGCTGGAGCGGTACCTATTTATCTACTTGCACGTGACATGCTTTCGAACTGCTAGGTTGGCAGGAGCAGGGACCGAGCAACGGGAACTCACCCTGTCACAGGGATTCAAACCACCGACTTTCTGATCGGCAAGCCCTAGGCTCTGTGGTTTAACCCACAGCGCCACCCGCGCCCCAAGGACTTTTCCATAGGACATTCCTATTTTAATAGGAGAAATGTTGGAGGGGATGATATCCCACCTTCTCATCAAAGCAGTGCATAATCCGTGAGGCAGGTAACGGAAGCCCATAAGAATGGCAACTCAAGTTGCGGGTACCACCAATTGTTTAGGACTACCGCATCGCTTTTTTGTTAAGCATTTTAGATCTATGGAAATACAGTGGACACTTGGGTTGCAAACGTGATCTGTGCGGGATGCAAGTTCGCAACCCAGAGCATTCGCAACCCACAGCGGCACATCTGCGCACGTGTGGGTTGCGATTCAGTGCTTCTGCGCATGCGCAAAGCGTGATTTAGCACTTCTGCGCATGTGCGATCACTGAAACCCAGAAGTAACCCGTTCCAGGTTTTGGCGCGCCCGTAACCCAAAAAAACGCAACCTGAAGCGTCTGTAACCCGAGGTATGACTGTAAACAAGTACAGTGGTACCTCGGGTTAAGTACTTAATTCATTCCGGAGGTCCATTCTTAATCTGAAACTGTTCTTAACCTTCTTAACCTTTAGCTAATGAGGCCTCCTGCTGCTGCCGTGCAGCGGGAGTGCGGTTTCTGTTCTTATCCTGAAGCAAAATTCTTAACCTGAAGCACTATTTCTGGGTTAGCGAAGTCTGTAACCTGAAGCGCATGTAACCCGAGGTAACACTGTATAAGGAACGAAGCAGGCACTCCATTGAAACAAGTCCACAGAGCAGAGGACACGCAAGTAAAACAGATGCATTATCGGATCAAAATTTATTCATTTAAAGTTTATTAAATTTATATACTGCCCTTACGTCAGAAGAAGACGCCACCAACCAAGCAATAAAATTGAAACACATTCAAAACATCTGAAAACAGAAAGAACAATCCCACACTCTCGCAGCTAATAAATTTCAAGGTAGTCAAGATTGGTATCTTTCAGTCAACAGATGCCCAACTGAGCAGGATAAAAAGAAAAAAGAATAAAAGTCTTGCTGAATGCTAGCAATGGAGGAGACAGACACACCTCACAAAGGGCGGCATCCCACAAACAGGGACAAAGAGAGGATGAGCAAATGGGGCATTTGGGACAGGGGATTCAGAAAACTTTGACCCAGGGCCCTGCTTTTAACAGAGCAATTGCAAAATTCCAGTGCTGGAACCCAGAACTTGCTTGCTGCTCTGAAGGAGGCCGAAAGGTGTGTGAGAGAGAAAGCCACTGGGTTTTGAACTGTGAGCAGGTCATCAGGCACAACCTGCCTGTGTGAAATGGATCTAAGCTGCTCTGGCCGGAGCTGGCCCAATATATTTTGCTGCCCAAGGCAGAACAACAACATGGTGCTCTCCCTCCCCAAGTCAAGGCGCACAAGGCTGGCCAAGCCGTTTAAGCAACTGAGACTCCCTGGAAATATATATATATATATATATATATATATATATATATATATATATATATGTTGTTGTTTAGTTGTTTAGTCGCATCCGACTCTTCGTGACCCCATGGACCAGAGCACGCCAGGCACTCCTGTCTTCCACTGCCTCCCGCAGTTTGGTCAAACTCGTGCTGGTAGCTTCGAGAACACTGTCCAACCATCTCGTCCTCTGTCGTCCCCTTCTCCTTGCACTCTCCATCTTTCCCAATACCAGGGTCTTTTCCAGGGAGTCTTCTCTTCTCATGTGGTGGCCAAACTTTTGAAGTTAAGCGGTTTCTAGCAGTAATGGTATAAAAGAATATGGAAAAATTGGTTTTTAATATCTAAAAATTTAATGTTATAATATATCAAGATTAAAGATCAGGATTAAAAAGGAGGGAAAGGAATCGCTGGACTAACAAATTGAACTAGAATACAAAAGAGGGAGGTATGAGGAGGTCCGGGAAACAAGTAAATGTAAAAGAAGTGATGAAAAGATGGAATTGTTTTTAATTGTTTTTTCTTTTTTGTACTTTGTATTTTGTATTTTTCTTTTTTATTGTTAAATTTCTTATTAATGTGATCTTTTTCTTTTGAAATTTTAATAAATATCATTTAAAAAACAAAAACAAAATA